TTCTTTTTTTTAATTCAAAAATTTAATTTCAGTATAGTTAATGTACGTTTTATTAGTTTTAGGTTTATAATATAGTGATTCAACAATTCCATACAAAAAAGATAAGAATTCTAATTTTTTTAAAATTTATTTATGATAGTCACAGAGAGAGAGAGGTAGAGACACAGGCAGAGGGAGAAGCAGGCTCCATGCACCGGGAGCCCGACGTGGGATTCGATCCCGGGTCTCCAGGATCGCGCCCTGGGCCAAAGGCAGACGCCAAACCGCTGCACCACCCAGGGATCCCAAAAGATAAGAATTCTATAAAAAATAAGCACAGTATCACCTGAGGAAAACATAGCTGTTTCTTTAATATAATTAAAGATCTAGTCAATATTCAAATTTCTGATCGTCTCAAACAATTATTTAAAAAAAACCTAAAAAATATTTCAGTTTATTTGAATCAGGATTCAGATAGAGTCCACACATTGAAATTGATTTGTCATCTCTTTTAAATTTCTGCTTTCACCTTCTCTCTCTCTCTCTCTTTCTCTTATTGCAATTATTTATTTTAAGAAAGGGGCAGGCGCAGGCGAGGATTTGTTCTATAGTTTTCCAGAGTTTGGACTTTGTTGATTGTATTCTCCTGCTGGTGTTTTTCCATGGAACTCTGTTTCACTGTATTGTCAGTAAATTGGTATTTGGATGTAGAGGCTTGATCAGATTCAGGGACAATTTATTTGTTAAGATTACCTAATGGGTGGTGATATGGCCTCCCATTAGGAGACATAGAATGTCTGGTTGTTCTTCTTTGTGATGTTAGTGGCTGTTGAAAATCAATGCAGTCCATTAGGGATTGCAAAATGGTGATGTCCTAATTCTAACATTCTTTTTAAATTTATTCTTTCCTATAATAAGAAACTTCTCTTATTTCTTCTGTTATTACTCTATGGTGCAATTTATATAGGAGAGCCAGGATAAATTTTTGACAGTTTTCAACATAATGAGTTGGCTTGTTAGCATTATCCTCCAGTGGTGACCAATTAATTTTTAGAGTGACATTGTGAACTCATGGATTTCAACATATTTGATATATTTAATCTTTTGCAGTTACTACTTTTGTTGATACTCAAATTATCCTAAAAAGCATGGGATCTCTTTAAGTTGACTCCTGAGTCCTTTTGACACAACCCTCGTTGTCTGTGGGTGCCTCTTAGTAGAAAATGGCATTTTCAGAGACCACAATCTCGGTGCTAAGAATGCTCATTGCTTTTGGCTGATCATTTTTTTTAGGCCTTTTGAGTGGACAGAGCTAGAAAATGCAAATTTAGAAGTTTAAAGACATTTAAAGATTAAAATATATGTTTTTATTGATACATCTGATTCAAATTCAGGACTACATGTTTTCTTTTCTTTTTTCTTTTTTAAAGATTTTTATTTATGTATTCATCAGAGACACAGAAAGAGAGGCAGAGAAACATGCAGAGGGAGAAGCAGGCTCCCTGCGGGGAGCCCGATGCAGGACTCGATCCCAGGACCCCGAGATCATGCCCTGAGCCAAAGGCAGATGCTCAACTGCTGAGCCACCCAGGTGCTCCAGGACTACATGGTTTTTACTTAACTTCTATCTTAGGATTGTATTTTTACCCCTGCAGAGAATGCCAGTTTTCAGTGACATTGAGAGTGACAGAACAAGTTTACATAATCACTCATTTGTTTATCTCACAATGCACAGCAGTCTTAGAGTGATAGCACCAACTCTACCACCAGTAGGTAACTAAAAAGGAGTTTAAGATCTTCTGAAATTCTTTTCATCTTTAGGGTATATGCCCCTATGGATGTTCAGTCAATTTATTATAGCTTAACATTACTTGGAATAATTCTCTTGGAATAGTTATATCATCAATTTGTCATTTGCTTCATTTCGTTTCTCATTTCTGGGAATTGATTTTATTTTATTTTATTTTTTTAAGATTTTATTTATTTATTTGACAGAGAGAGAGAGAGGGAGCACAAGCAGGGGGAGCACCAGGCAGAGGGAGAGGAAGAAGCAGACTCCTCACTGAACAGGGAGTCTGATGCGCAGCTCCATTCCAGGGCCCTGGGACCATGACCTGAGGCAGGCACTTACCTGACTGAGCCACCCAGGTGCCCTTGGGAATTGCTTTAAAAATTTTTAGTTTTGTTTTAAAATTATGTGTGATATTTATAAAACAGGTATATTCAAAGATATCTGTTTTTTTTTTTTTGTCCTTGTCTCCTAGTCTACCCTAAATCCTCACTCCTCTGTAGGTAACTATTCAAAACAGTTGTTCATGGCTTATTCTTCCTTGATATGTTTTTAAGTATAAGCAGATGCTTATGTTGTAACATACATATATATATACACTTATATATATGCTATATAATATGTATGTAAAAGAAAAAAGGTATCAAAAATATATGTTTATTTTAAAGTAGGATCTATGCCCAACATGGGACTTCAACTCATGACCCCATGATCAAGAGTACCATGCTCCACCAACTGAGCTAGCCAGGTGCTCCCAACACCCTTTTCTTTGATAAAAGTTAGCAAATTATAGCAATTTTCTCTACCTTGCTTTTTAAACCGTATTATATCTTGAAGATTATTCCATAGTAGTAAATAATATGTAATTTTAAATATCTATAAACTAAATTCATAAAGTACTATAAATATTGGAAGCAACCCAAATGTCATCAATAGATGATAAAGAAGATAAAATACACACACACACACACACACACACACAGAGGACTGTTACTCAGCCATAAAAAAGAATGAAATCTTGCTGTTTGCAACAACATGGATAGACTTGGGAGGTATCATGCTAAGTGAAACAAGTCAGAGAAAGAAAAATACCATATGATCTCACTCGTATGTAGAATTTAAGAAACAAATGAACAGTTAAAAGAGACAAAAAACGTCAGACTCTTAAATACGGAAAACAAATTAGTGGTTGCCAAGAGGATGGGTGAAAAAGATAAAGACTTAAGAATACACTTACCTTGATGAGCACTGGGTAATGTGTGGAAGTTTCGAATCATATTATACACTTGAAGCTAATTTAACACGTATGTTAATTATACTTGAATAAAAAAAGAAATAGAAATATACTTGAATTAAAAAAAGAGTAGCAGGGATCCCTGAGTGGCGCAGCGGTTTGGCACCTGCCTTTGGCCCAGGGCGCAATCCTGGAGACCCGGGATCGAATTCCACGTCGGGCTCCCGGTGCATGGAGCCTGCTTCTCCCTCTGCCTGTGTCTCTGCCTCTCTCTCTCTCTCTCTCTCTCTCTGTGTGACTATCATAAAAAAAAAAGAGTAGCATATCTATGTAGACATTTGACTTTCATCTACTTACTTAAAAATTGGTTTATTCAAGTTGCTCTCAAAAATTTTTTTGAGTCTTCTCATTAGGAAAATGGATTGCTTTACATTCAGGGTTGCCTTATTTGGGGACATAGATAACTGAAAAGGAAAAAAGAGTAAAATTAGGACAGTAAGCTGGAGATTTGAGCAGGATCTAGAAGGTGGTCAGGATTTAGTGAAGAGTTGGGGATGGGGTGGGGCGCATTAGGTGACAGAACATGTGAACAAAGGCATGAAAGTGTGAATGTGCACAGTGCCCATGAGATCGGTGAACTTGACTGCAGGTTTGATAAGAGAAATAGACTGGCGGGAAAATCAGTTCAGATTTTTAAAAAATAATTCAGGGTCTTGATAAGGCAGGTGCCATTATATTCATTATTTTAACAAAGAATTATTAAGTCCCTACTATGTGAAAAGTCTGTGTAGCATGCTGGGGAAACATTGGTGAGGAAGACAGACAAGGGTCCTTCGCTTGAGCAGAGACATTTCATTATGAAGGAGAAGTACAGTGTGCTATGAGGGCATATAAATGGAGGGACCCAGCTTGGTTCAGATGAGGCTAGTCAAGGAAGTCTTTCAAGGAAGTTCATTGAGGCTGAGATCTGTAGGATGAATAAGTGGGCTGCTGGTGGTGGAGGTGAGGACAGTAGGGAGAGGGTGATAGTTCTAGGCAGAGGGAGCAACACTCAAGGAAGAACGTAAATGTGGTTCCAGAACTGAAAACATGTCCAGTGTGACTGAAGGGGCTGGAGAGTGCCCTAGAGTAGATGAGACATGAGAGTGGATTCAAGAGAAATTGCAAAAGAAGACTCAATAAGGGAGAAAATGATCTCCCCAACGGCATGTGATGGGCACTCAATATACATGGAATGGATAAATAAATACACTTGAGATTTCAAACGTGGACTAAGGAATGATGGTGCCAGGGTAAGCATAAGTAAATGAGCACAGAGTGCTAGTTTTGGAAAGATTAGTTTGGTTTTAGGCACATGGATCTTGCGGTTCCCATCTCAATAGTTTATCAAATACTGAGTCAATAGTTTCAATAGTTTCAGGCTACTGTTGAAGTTTTAGACTCAAGTGAGGGAAACAAAAGGTAGAGTGCTCTTGCTTCCTCTATGGTTAGAGGAAGAATATGAGCCTTTGGTTGAGAGAGGGGAGACTTGACTTGATCAGAGGAAAAAGATGGAGAATTTCAAGGACAGAGGCTGAAATACCGTAGAGGTTGAGGAGACCAATTTACACTAAATGAAATGATGTGGTTGGCACCACTTACAAAATGCAGATGTATTATCCCCTTGTACAGGTGGAGGGGGGAGTTGGAAAAGGCATGAGATCTGCAGTCACAAGACCTGAGTTCAGTCCCACCCCTGCCTTTTACCACATTTGTGCCCTTGAGCAATAATTACTTCATTTTCTCTGAGTCTCAGTCTGCTCTTTTATAAAATGAGAAAGAATGGCTGTCATGTTTGTGTCCCAAAGTTAATGGGAAGTTCAAATGAAAAACTTATGTAAGCAATTGTATTTGCTCCCCCAAGGGTTGCCCAAAGGGTCTGGCATACATGTGCAACTTAAATGAATGTTTGAATGAATGACTTAATATTACTGGATCTACTTAATTATGTTTCAACAGAGACCAGATGAAGAAGCTGTGGTGGATCAGGGTGGGACCAGTACAATTCTCAACATTCACTATGAGAAAGAGGAGTTGGAAGGTAAGAACTGTGGTTTTGTGTGCGTGATGGGGGAGAATTATTGAGAGCAGCCTGGTATGGGAGGAGAGCTTTGCCATCGGAAGGCCTGAGTTGGAGCCCTCTCTTTCTTACTAGCTGTAGGACCTTGGGGGAAAATCAATTCATTCCCCGTAGGCTCTATGTCCTTATCTGTTAAATAAAAGTAGGGATATTAATGCAGAGAACAAACTGGTGGTTGCCAGAGGGATGGGAGGTGGAGAGAAAGCAATGGGTGAAATAGATAAAGGGGATTAAGAGATACAAACTTCCAGTTATAAAATAAATAAGTCGTGGAGATGAGAAGTATGGCATAGGGAATATAGTCAATAATACTGTAATAATGTTGTTTGGTGACAGATGGGGACTACACTTAACTGTGATGAGCGCTGAGTAATGCATAGAATTGTTAAATCATCATGTTGTACGCGTAAAATGAACACAGCACTGTACGTTAGTTATAATTCAATGTAAAAAGTGGAGATATTAATACCTCACTCTTAGGATCTAATACCATGTGAGACAATGCTTTGGGTACTATAAAGTCCGGCATAAATATTAATAAATGATCTATTCCTTGAGAATGTAGAGTACTCAGATCAGTTTGTCAATTCTTGACAACTGCCTACAAATATAAATGTAAATTTATACACAATTTTAAAAGGAAATAAAATACAAATAGTTTTTAAGATCAGATTTGTTATATTCAGTTTGGTTATATTATTCAGTTTACCCCATCTCCGATATTTGCTCTTCCCATTCTAATTATACCCATTTCTGCCTGGTGTTTTCATCTAAACAAGACAAGAGAAAACACACACACCTGTAACGTATTCTTTAGGAATTCGTAGCACAGAGCTGTATTTTAAAAACACCCGGCGAAAGTGGAAGGGAAAGAAGAGTCATTTTTATTGATATGCTCTGTGTAGTTTCCCTTGACCTTCTTTTCCCCTGTCCAACCCTTAGTTCCAGCACATTGGTGCTGTCCTTCTGCTTTCCTTTTTTCCGTAGGGCCTGGTTTCCTGATAAGTGGCGATGCTCAGTTTTATTAGACAAAGGCTCGTGTCCAGTATAGCTTTAATGAGAACCCACATTTGGCTCAAAAGCCTTTGTGAAATCTCTGCAGCATCCCCTGCAATGGCTATGATACAGCAACTTTCTAGTGACTGAGACAGCATGTAAAATGTTCTCGCGGTACTGCTTGTTCTCGTGACGTTTTTTCATCAAAGTTGTATAATCCCCAGAGCAAACTTGTCCTTTGGATGGGGAGAGTGGAAGCTGTAGAGGCTGATTCAGCCTCTGGGTCTGTTACCATGAGAACTTCTGTGGGTGGCTTCTGGAGGTCAGTGGAGTTTGGATAGATCAAGGTCAAGTTTTCCAAGTTATTCTGACCAGATGGAAGAAGAGCCAGTGTGGGTTTTGGCAACTGGGAGAAAGGGTGTGGAGGTGGGAGGCTAACATTTATGGAATGCCCCTTGGGTGTTAGGCATTCGATGAAGCATTTCGAACAAGTTGTCTTTTTCATCTTCGCAGCAGCCCGGGCCGGTAGGTACCATCCCTATTTTACATGTGGAGAAATTGCTCATGGTCACTTAGCCTAATGGCAGGTGAGACTGGGATGGAATTCTGTTCTTTCTGTTCCCCCACACTGCCTGCAAGGGAGGACAGTACTTGGCATTAACCACCCAGCCTCAACATCTTGCTCCGTCACATGAACATTTTTATATGCTATAAACATCATATGAATATTTATCATATTGCCCTACCCGTCCTTCTACTCTGATCATCCTGTTGCCTCTCACTGCACACTGAGGACACTGTTGTTCTCAGTTTAATTGTCTGGGCCTACCAGACCTTTGCCCTCAGCAAGGAGGTAACTAACCACCTATGAACACTCTTGTCTGCTTGGGAGTAGGCCAATGAACATGGGTAAGTTCTCTTGGGTCCTGAGGACTGGGCTCCATCCACAGAGGCCAGCTGAGTAATTGGCAACTGGGGCTTCTTTTCAAGACGGCGTCATCTGTTCTTCATGCACTCACCGTTTTGCTATAAAAGAAAGCTATCTATGATGTCATTTGTAGGGGATAGGAAATGATCCTTCATACATAGAGCTTTTTGAAAACTAGAATCTTATTGATGTTAGCCCTTTTTAAATAAAGCACAGTTGGCACATGGAGGACAAATGGTTCCCGCTTCTCAGGCCTGATGTGGTTCTAGGGCAGCTCCAGGGAGGAGAAGAGGGAGAGCTGGGATTTGCTGTAGGCTTGGTCATGTTGGGGGCTCTACCCTGACTCACTGTGAGGGAGGCCCTAGGACTCAGGTGTACCTAGGGTGGTGTCATTTCTTGAAGGGTTGAAATAAAGTCAGTCCCACTTTGATAGAAGACAGAAGTAGATTGTATTCTGATTCAAAGTGTATGCCATGATATAGGGTTCTGTGACTGTAGATAAATCCCTGGCTCTTCATTCCCCTTTATTCCATACCCTCTGCTCCACATAATGTAACGATCCCCCTTTTCAGAACTACTTCAGAGATTTTGTCTCTGGACATTGTTACAGACTTTTGTAAATGTGGGTCTTTTTGCATAAGTTAATTCCATCAGTAGGAGAAGGTGCATTAAACCATGACATTGCTTCTTTTTATATATGAGAAGCGTCCAAAGCAAGTATTAGAACAGATTTCCCAAGATAAACTCACAAAGAGCAATAGTCCATGATGTACTTCAGTGGACCCTCCCACTCCCAGAAAGACATGGAACGGTTGTTTTAGTTTCAGAAATGGTTTTTTCCATTTTTTTTTTCCTGGCACATCACTATTCCTGAATAAGTATTAGACTTAGGAATCTTAGACTGGGTTTGTTGCCTTCTAATAAGTTTTTAACAGAGGTTAAGAACCTTTTGATCCTATTTTTAAGTCTTGAAAAAAAGGCTTATATCTGCTCTGCATGTTAGATTCCCCCCTCCAGTTATTGACTTTGAGTCATCCTGTAGCCCAGGGGGGTGGAATAATTTTCAGTATGTGCTAATGAGTTCTCCGTGTGTGCTGGGTAAACAGTGTTTATGACATGCACTCTACGTTGGTAGGCCCAGTCTCCATCTGCAAGGTAGGTCACAGCTGTGATTTCTGTCCTGCTCCAGAAGATTCAGCCCCAGTTCACTAATGGTTGCTCTCTATATGCACATACATACTTATTTTTAAAAATACACACTAGCATTACATCTCTCCCATAAGTTTTACTGAATGAATACTTGTATTTACTCACGGCTCCCAAAGCATAGGTTTGACAATGGCTGGAAAGAAAGAATGGGGAATTGGATGCGGATTTGACAGGTAGATGGGGGGGAAGAAGACTGAGTGGGAGAGCAGTTGAATGGCCAGCCAAGTGACCACAGGATTAGTTTAGTGAAGTCACCAGATTGCCAGAATCCAGTGAAATGGTCTAGATTTTATTGATGCCGTATTTGTTTCCGAGTGTCCATTTGTTTGTCATCATTTCTGCAGATTTCACTCAGAATACCCAAGTCCCTGTTTCAGAGTCTTCAGCTTGGAAACCGAGGCCTAATTTTCTGACAGCCACTTGGTCCTTCTTAGCTCTGACCCCTGCTGAGGCTTGTTTTCATTTCTGCCTGTCTCCAGCATTTCAAAAGGCAGGCACTGCCGTTGGTTTGGGAGAACTGATTGGACCAAAAAAAAAAATTGTCGGGGAGAAAAAGAGTCTTCCTTCCCTAAGATTTGTACTTGACCTTACTTCCTGCAGAGCCACCAAAGGCACCTGAAGGATGTCTTCCTAGTTATCCTCAGACTTGCCGAGTGGGAATTTTAGGCATCAAGCAAAACCATACATCATTGGCTCAACAAACATTTACTGGGGGCGCCTGGGTGGCTCAGCTGGTTAAGCATCTGCCTTCTGCTCAGGTCATGATCCTGGGGTCCTGGGATTGAGTTAAGGAGAGAACCTGGACTAGACGTGAGAAGTCATTTGGTCCAACCTCCTTGTTTTACTTTAATAGTGACAGTGAACAAATGAACCAAGAGAGATCTAATAACACAGATTCCAAAACCTAGTCACTACCCCTCAATTTCTATTTAGAATATACTTAAAATTACATAATATTAGCAATATACCAACAGCCCAGTGGAAGTATTTGGAATGTGCTTAAAAAGTATAGGTCCTAGCCTGGCCAATAACCCTCTGGGAGATTTGTTGGGAACAAGAAGCTCAGGGTTGGGATGGCTCTATTGGAGGAGTTAAAGTCACCCCTTGGTGAGGCTTTTCTTCACTTAAGTCTAAGTTCTACCTAGACATACCGGATTTTACAATGCCTAGGTCACTATTTTAGGGACTAGTTGAAGTGGTTCAGTGGGATCTAATTATGTTTTTCACTGCCCATGGGTTCTTCATGATCTGCTCCTGCCTGTCTTTCTGACCTTTGCCTCCTCCTCTTCTTTCCTCTTTTACCTTGCTCTGGTCCTACTGGCCATCCTTTTGCTTTGGAATTCGCACATGCCCACTGTAAGGCCTGTGCACTTGATCTTGCCTTCTCCTGGAATGCTCTTCTCATGGCCTCTCCTCATCATTCAGATATTGCCTCTAACCATCTTAGCTACAATCTCCCTTCTCCATCCTACCCTTTACCCCAGACACTTTACCATTTTTTAGAGAAAGAGAGACCATGCACAAGAGTGGGGCATGGGGGTACAGAGGGAGAGGGAGAAAGAAAGAGAAAATATTTTTTAAAAAAGATTTTATTTATTTATTCATGAGAGATAGAAACAGAGACACAGGCAGAGGGAGAAACGGGCTCCTCTCAGGGAGCCCAACGCAGGATTTGATCCCCGGATCCTGGGATCACACCTTGAGCTAAAGGCAGACGCTCAACCGCTGGAGGCACCCAGGCATTCCGAGAAAGAGAGAATCTTAAGCAGACTCCACACCCAGTGTGGAGCCTGATGCCGTGCTTGAGCTCATGACCCTGAGATCATGACCTGAGCTGAAATCAAGAGTTGGACTCTTAACCGACAGAGCCACCCAGGGGCCCCTACCATGTTTTTATTCATAATAATTATCAGTACTTGAAATAATATGTTGTTGTTTTCACGATGTCTGTCTCCACTAACTAGAATATGTGTATTGAGGATAGGGACCTTGTGCTGTTCACTACTGCATCCCTAGCCCTTGGGACAGGACCTGGCACAGTTAGGTGACTCCAGCCTGGGTTGGTCTCAGTGGTGTACTACAGGGAACTAATTAACATACTAGAGTGGAACATCATTAGTTAACAGATGGTATTTTATTAAGATGGTATTCAATTTAGTCATTTTCACACTTTATAGTTTTCATTGATAATGTCAGAGGTTTGGAATCCCACATCTTAGCAGATGACTTCTTCTGGCTCTGTATTTCTGTTTCGATAAAGTTGCAAGATGACTACATTATGTTCAGAGATCTGCCAGTAGAAACGTCCTGAGATGTGCATGAGTTAATACAGGATGGGATGCGGATAGGAGGTGTGATTCCTCCAGATACTAAATGTTTTGGCCTCCTACCTCTCAACCTTCTAACAAATCTCTGATCAGCTTTCCCTCTAATTCTGTTCCTTTTTTTTTTTTCTTGAAGTAGAGTTAACATATAGTGTTATGTTAATACAATATAATGATTCAGCAGTTCTGTACAGTACTCAGTGCTCATCCTGATAAGTGTACTCTTAATCTCCTTTATCTACTTCACCTATATCACCACCTCCCTTTTGTGAACCACTAGTTTGTTCTCTATTTAAGAGCGCACGTACGTGTGTGTGTGTGTGTGTGTGTGGTTGGTTGGTTGGTCTCTTTCATCTTTGTTCATTTGTTCTGTTTCTTAAATTCCACATAGGAGTAAAACCATATGGTATTTATCTTTCTCTGTCTGATTTGTTTCACTTAGGATTGTACCCTTTAGGTCTATCCGTGTTATTGCAAATGGCAAGATTTCATTCTTTTTTATGGCTGAGGAATATTCCATTGTTTGTGTGCAAATTGATGCAGCCACTGTGAAGAACAGTATGGATGTTCTCCCCAAAATTAAAAATAGAATTACCATATGATCCAGTAATTCCAGTACTGGGTATTTACCCAGAGAAAACGAAAACACTATTCAAAAAGATATATGCATTTTTTTGCATATTTGTTGCAACATTATTTATAATAGTAAAGATGTGGAAGCAACCCAAGTGTCCATCCATAGATGAATGGATAAATAATATGTGGTATATATAATCCTGTTTCTTTTTGTTTTTCTTTATCACTTGGGAGTTTGGAAGGCAGGAGAGGACAAAGAAAAGGAGAGAGAAATAGAGAAAGGAATGAAGGAATGTAGAGCAGCACTCCAAGGCATATTAATTAACTTCACGTGTAAGTAGTGGAGTCCAATTTGGGACCTTGAGAAGCTTGCAGATGATGAATAGTTGGAGGTATTAATTCTAGTTCAAGGTGTAAAATAAGTGCATAAGAGAATGCTAGCCAAGGGCTCTGGGGTTTTAGAGGTAGGAGGTTGCACATCTGATTGGGGAGATCAGATGTAATATCAAGAAGGAAGGTGTGTTTGCTGTGAATCTTGTGGGAGCGAGCCAAGTCCGTGTCTAGAGGGCACTGGCACATTTGTGGAATAGTGGGTTGGTTCAGAGAGAGGAAAGAATGGGAGAGGATGGCGGGTGGAGCAGCCAAGGCTGTGGGGAGGAGATAGAGTTGCTGGGGTAGATGCAGAAGGTGTACGTCTCTACATTTCCCCCTGCCCCCAAAATGTTTAAGCGCTGTGAGCCTGTGTGGGATTTCCACCTCCCAGTCTCGCTTGAGCTGATTGCTCAGTTCTTCTGGAGGCCCTTCCCTTTATTTTCTTATTAAATGTACAATTTTTTCTAGTGAAGAAAAGACTAGAAAGGAGATTGGGGTCTGAGCATCCTGGAGCATGAAGGGTCCTGACTGCACAGAAGTGAGCTGTGATCAGAGCAGTGCTTCAGGAGGATTCGTTTGTAGGATTGAATTGGTGTGGAAGGCAGGAAAGAGGCTCCTACTGTTGTCAAGGTGGGAGGAGAGAAATCCTTGACATCCTTAATCTGTAGGATATAGCACTAAGGAGCATGGGGAGAGGTGGAAATCTAACGTAACTCTGAGGTTTCAGGCCTGGGAAGTTGAGAGAATGGTGAAGCCATGAACAGAAACATGGAAGAAATGGGTATGAGCTTGATTTGAGATAGAGGATGATGGGTTTGCTTTGGGATATATTGAATCACTGTAGATAAAGATCTGGGGGTCATTTGTAGAAGAAAACTTTCAAATCATGAGAGTAGATACCAATAAAATAAAAGAGAGAGAAGGGCCCAGGACTGAAATCCAGGGAACTTTCCTTTGGTGGATTGTGGAAGGGATGGAGAAGCATAGTCAGTCAAAGGAGTGCAGATGAACTAAGGAGGCATGGGTATGGGAGCTAAGGGACCCTGGACCACCAATGGGAGGACGTAGTCAAAGAGTCAAGGGACTTGGATACTGCCTGGTACGTGGTGGGCTCTCAGGAAAGGCTTTTGAGTTGACCTGAGAGAGACATAAGATGATAGAGATTTGGTGATTAAGTGGTCCCTAATGAGAGCACTTTTAATGGAGAGCGGCTGCATGCAGAGGGTAGGCAACAAGGAGATGGTGAGGAATAGAGAAGCTAGGTGGGTAGATTGTTCTTGAAAGTGGTTTGACGGAGAAGGGAAAAGGACAGGTATAAGCTTAGAGAGTAGCACTAGATTGAGAAAGTTTCTTTTTAAGAGAGACTTGGGGCACCTAGCTGGCTTAGTTGGTAGAACATGCAACTCTTGATCTCAGGGTCATGAGTTTGAGCCTCACGTTGGGCATAGAGCTTACTAAAAAAAAAAAAAAAAAAAAAAAAAAAAAAAAAAAAAAAAAAAAAGGTAAGAGAGAGTTGTGATCAGGAGAAAACTGTGGAAGGGATGGATCAAAAGGAGAGACTGAGGATAGCTGATGGAATAGGACCCCAGAGGTGTGGGAGGCCATACTCGTTAGCCTGGCAAAGAGTAGAAGCTGGGGGAGGAAAGCAAGCCAGGCTGAGCGGGAGGGAGGTCACGTGAGACTGCCTTAGTCTTCTAAGTAAAATATGAAGCCAGGTCACCTACTCTGAGGGAGGAAGTGTGGATCAGGGTTGGGGGTTTGAGGACAGCAGCTGAAGACTGGAATACTTCTGTGGTGGCAGAAACGGGGAGTCAGCCTGAGATCTAGGGTGCTAGCAGCAGTAACTGGGCAGCAATGGGGGAAGACTAAAGCTCAGTTGTTCGGGGTGGTAGCATTCTGGAAGCTACTGGTTCAGGGCTTCAGGCTGGCAGCAAGGCAAGGGAAGCCAGGTGGAAGTGAGAGAGAATCCTGGCAGTCATGAGCAGAACAAAATAAGGCTTATAGAAGGAACAAATGAGTGAAAAAGGAGGAATTGAACAGCAACACTCTTGGATCACTTATTTTCCCACATTCTTCTCTTTTTGTACAACACTTACTATCTCTCCCTGTAACCCCAGACTCATGCTTCTTATGATTTGTGACACTAGTCTCTCACTACTATTCTAGATTGTGCATTCTACAGGGCAGAAAGAAGGGTAGTAGAAACTGTTCCTAGAAAGTAGTGGCTGCTAAAAGTTATTCAAGACATTGGTTAAGCATTTTGTATACATCATCTTATGTGCTGCTCATGAAAACCCTCTGAGTTTAAATACTAAGCTTTTAGTATTATTTTTAAAGACTGAGAGAGATTAGCTAACTTACTTAAGGTCACATGGTTAGCGAATGATGAAGTCAAGTTTCAGACCCAGGCAGGTTGACTTGAGTATTTAGTCAGTTCTCCAAACTGCCTCCCTGCCTTGACTTGCTACAGTTGGCACAGTGAATGTATTACTTTTTTCCAATTGCTCAAATTGCCATAACAGCAACTAGAATCCTTGTTGGCTTTTAGGGCTTGCAAATCAAGTTCACACACATTATTTCCTTTGATTTTAACACTCCTGTGAGGTTTGCAGCCACATGCAGGGTGAAGGAGGGCGTCAGCTCCAAGATCTCCATGTCTTTGGTCCTGAAGTCTTTGAAGTTTTGCCATTGCAGAGTTGTGACCCAGCCAGAGAACTATGATTTTTTTCTCTCTTAAATATGCTTACTTCCTTTTAGAAAGGCATTCTCTGGGGTGCCTGGCTGGCTCAGTTGGGAGAGTATAAGACTCAATCTCAGGATCATGAGTTAGGTCCCACATTGGGTATAGAGATTACTAAAAATAAATAAATAAAGGCTTAAAATAAAATAAAATAAATAAAATAAAATAAAATAAAATAAAAAATAAAGGCATTTACTGCACAGACCTTCTGCTTTGTTCCAGGTCATAGAACTTTGTATGTGGGGGTTCGGATGCCACTGGGCCGGCAGAGCCATCGCCATCACCGAACCCATGGCCAAAAGCACCGCAGACGAGGGCGAGGCAAAGGAGCCAGCCAAGGAGAGGAAGGCCCGGAGGCCCTGGCCCATGGTAACATTCTCAGGAGGAAGGGGGGGGGGGTCCATGGCTGGGACCTTGGTGAGGCTGAGGGAACGTGTGGTGGACATCAAGTAGGTGGTCTTGATTCTCTAGCCCTTTTGCAGAGTTTTTGGAGCTTGCTTCCCAGAAGAAGAAATGCCTCCAAGAATCAAATATCTTCCTGAAAAACTCATAGTTCAGGCCTCCCAAATCGATTACCATAGAGGTGAATGAAGTCATTTGCCAGAAAAGTAAACATTCTTTTTGATCAACTTAATCAGATATCCAGTTGTGGATTTTCCTCAAGTGGTCTTAATTCATCATTTTTTCCTTCCATTAACTGCTTCCATAGAATAGTGTTTTGGTGGGGGGTGGGTAAGAATAAATAAATCTTTTTGATTTACATTTAGGATGGTTTTTTGTTCCTGAAGTTATAAGGCCTCCAGGTGTGCTAAGTATAGCAGAATGCTATTTCTGTTCTAAGTTGAGGCTAGGAGCAGACCTTTCTCTGTGGTTGATTTTCTAGATACACCATCTCAGCGTGTTCAGTTCATTCTTGGCACTGAGGAAGATGAAGAGCATGTGCCACATGAGCTGTTCACAGAGCTGGATGAGATCTGTATGAAAGAGGGAGAAGATGCTGAGTGGAAGGAGACAGCTAGGTAAGGCCCTAAAATATCCTGATTCACGATTTGCTTGGGTAGGCAAACGTATACCTTTTAGCAAGTGACAGGTCTGCTTGCCTTTTATTTCTTCGTGGGAGAAGTGATGGCTGACATAGGGACTGATGCTCCAGAATCTTCTATGGGAAGTCTTGATTTTGGCCTCTTTGTGATGTCTCTGGTGATACCAATACCAATTGACCTTGAGCCTGGGATTGGTGACAGAAACACAGAACCTTTAGGGAGTCTTGTCATTTATTTAGGGCCCAGAATTGTTCATGGGCTATCTTGATATTATAGGTCTGATTTTTTAAAAAATTTTTAAAATTATTTTTATTGGAGCTCAATTTGCCAACATATAGCATAACACCCAGTGCTCATCCCGCCAAGTGCGCCCTTCAGTGCCTGTCACCCAGTCACATCAACCCCCCCACCCACTTCCCCTTCCACTACCTATTGTTCATTTCCCAGAGTTAGGTGTCTCTCATGTCTTGTCACCCTCACTGATATTTTCACTCATTTTCTGTCCTTTCCCTTTATTCCCTTTCACTATTTTTTATATTCCCCAATCTAATTTAGAAGATGCCTGATGGGCCACCTTGGTTTGGACCTACCCCAGCAAACATAGCATAGGTGAAGACTTTTCTGCAGGTGAATGATAGTGTTTTAATTCATTTGGATTTTGAGTCACTAGAAGTTTCATAATTTTTGAGACGTCTTATGGGGATAGCCCAACCTCATGGAGACCTGTGGGAATTTATAGCTGGCCTGACAGCAGGCTTCCTGGGGTAGCTGTAGAGTGAGCCTCTACAGCTCATGCTTTGCCTGAGGTTCAAACCCCAGAAGAGCCCTCGGATTCACCAGGGCCATGTCTAGGCTCCTCTCATAATTGATCAGTGAGCCCCATGAGTGATATAAAGTCAGCATGCCTGAGCTTCAGGGAAGAAGGCAAGGTGGGTAACTAGCAGAGTGTGGCTCCAGCTCTCACTGGAACAGCTCTTCCTGGATCCTTGCTATATCCTCCACGGGTGGAGAGGATTAAGCAAGCCAATCACCCTGATACCAAGTGAAAAGGCAATTAATTAGTCTTGTTATTCTGTCTTTGCCAACTTGTAAAGGTCACACAGAGGCTTTTTCAAAAAGAAAAATATTATCATTTTATTAATCTATCCAAACAATATAGATTAGATCTATCTTTTTAATTGCACAAGTAATATATGCTCATTATATGAAATTAGAAAACAAAGATAAGCAAAAGGAAGATGAAAATTATGTATAAATCTACTACCTCAAGGATAATGAGGAATATAGCATTTGGCACTTTATACATGTGTGTTTGCATTTTTAAAATTTCTTTAAATAGAAATGGGATCAAATTGTACTCAAGTTTGGGCTGTTTTATAACCTTTTTTCACCTATCAATGTACCCTGAATATACAGATTAAATTATAATGTTTGATATAATTATTCAGGTATCTTCATTGTGGCTTACATTAAAAATTCTCTTGTGAAAACTCCTCATTATCAGTCTTTGGCATCCAGTTGTTATTAATGCTTTCAGGTGGCTGAAATTTGAAGAAGATGTTGAGGATGGGGGTGAACGCTGGAGCAAGCCTTATGTGGCAACCCTTTCACTGCATAGTCTCTTTGAGCTAAGGAGCTGCCTTATTAATGGAACAGTCCTTCTGGATATGCGTGCAAATAGCATAGAAGAAATTTCAGGTAAGATTAGGTGAGGGAGAACAGAGGAGTGTCTGTGTAAATTAAGAAGAGTATGGAGAAAGGAATAAAGTAGCTGTGTGTCCTCAGGTCAGTCATTGAACCTTCTCGACCTCAATGTCTTCAGCTGGAGGGATTTTTTTTTTTTTAGATTTATTTATTTATTAATGAGAGACAGAGAGAGGCAGAGACATAGGCAGAGGGAGAAGCAGGCTCCCTGTGGGGAGCCCAATGTAGGACTCAATCCCAGAATCCCAGGATCATGACCTGAGCCAAAGGGTCAACCACTGAAGCACACAGGCACCCCTGAAGGGATAGGTTTTAAACTAAGAAACTACCATTTCACAGCCTTATTATGTGAAATAGAGTTTCACTCTTCCATTTGCCTGTTCATTTAGCACACATTTAGTCTGTATCTATTTATGCTTGATAATGTGCTAATAAGCACAGAGAATAAAGATAAGATACAGTTCCTACCCTCAAGAAACTTACCTTCTAGCGGGGAAAATAGTCATGGGACAATTCAAATAAGTGCAACCACAGAGATATGTCTTGGTCGTACTTAGAGAAAGGGACAACTGGGAATTGTGCAGAGAAAAAGGTGTTAAAGGTTTTTTTAGACATGGTAGGTGTTATGGTTAGGCCTTTGATTCATTTTGAGTAAAATTTTATATACGGTGTAGTGTAGGAGTCCAACTTCGTTCTTTTGTAATTGGGTAGCCAGTTGTCCTAAGACCATCTTATTGAAGACTATTCCTTCTACCACTGAGTGGTACTGGTGCCCTTGTCAAAAATGAAATGACCAAACATCTAACCGGCTCAGGTCATGATCTTGGGGTCCTGGGATCAAACCCAACATTGAGCTCTGTACTCAGCAGGGAGTCTGTCTTTCTCCCTCTCCCTCTGCCACTTCCTCCCCTGCTTGTGCTGTCTCTATCAAATAAATAAATAAAATCTTAAAAAAAAAAAAGAATTGACCATAAAAAGATGGCACCTAGGGAAGACATGTAAGAAATTGAGCCAAAGTCCCCTGATGTCTTCAGTAGGATGTGCAGGGTGATATCTGATGGGGTTTCCTGATGTGGTTGAGTGTTGTTACTGCATTTTGGGAATGGCGTTTGAGAAGCACGTGGGTGCACGTGAGGATTTTTCCCTTAGGTTGGCTCTGTTTGGCTTGGCAGGTTAAATAAAGATTTCTTCACAAACTTTTCTTCAAGTATCCAAGTATTTCTGTCTCTCTGGGATCACTTGGGAAAGCAGGGGAGGGGTCAGCTCTGATGAGATCCTAGGTCACCTCTGAAGGTTCTAGGGTAAAGTTATTCCAGCTTCTGGTGGCTCTAGGTGTTCCTTCTCATGAATGCGTAACCCAATCTGCGTCTGTCTTCAGGTGGACTTTTCATTTGTGTTTCTCTTGAGAAGATATTTGTCAGTATCATCCAAGATGATCTTATCTTGAGATCCTTAACTTTATTACGTATGCAAAGACCCTCTTAACAAATAAGATCAGTCGCAGGTTCTGGGGGGTTAGTATACATAGATGTATCTTTTGGAGGGGGCACCATTCAACCTATTACAAAGGCTAAGAGAAGAGAGAGTTTCAATCATCAGTGTTAGGTGCTGCAGAAAGGTCAGGTAAATATCCATCAGATTTAGCAACTGGAAAGTTATTGATGATTTTATCAAAAGCAGTTTCATTGAGGTAGCAAATTGCAGGGGACTAAGAAATTTTTCTTTTGAGAACTTTAAGTGACAAGAGAAAGAGGTAATAAAGGGGGACCTGGGATGGACATTCTTTTTCTTCTTTTTAAATTTTCTTTTGAGATGTAGGATCCTGAAGCATATTTACAATATGAGAGTAATGAACCAATCAATATGAAGGTTAAAGATAGAGAAACCATGGATCTTCAGCTTGAATATTCAAAATAGATTTTCTTTATTTGTTGCTTCTAGTTCTTGGGTAGTCATGGATGGAGTTGGGGTTGAGAATAGGTTAAAGATTTTGGGAGGCTTGGGGATATGTGTGTAGGATTGAAGTATAATTGCTATATAGTTCCTGATATATTTGTGTTAGTGATAAGGAAGGTCAACAGGATGAAGTATCACCTGTGAATCAGCACCTCGTATTAATTTTGTATTAATTTTCCATAACAAGCTTTGAGGATAGTTGATAATATTAGCTCTACACTATAGATGGGGAAACTGAGGTATGGAAAGCTTATGTGACTTTCCCAAGATCACACAGAAAGTGGTATAAGTGGGATAGAATGAGGGCCTTTACACCTAGGACTCCTACTCAGTAGCAGGTATTGGGATATTTTTTCCCCTTCTATTGCTCTGGGCTTGATAAATTAAAGGTTGGTGCTTGGTGGCAATCGCTTGGGGTGCTTATTAACTTAATCATACATGTAGGTTCCACCTTCAAATTGTCATTTGGAGTGTTCTACAGTTACTGTTCCTCTTGACAAACAAAGCAATGTTGAAATCTCGGAGGAAGGGAATATAGAGGAACTTTGGCAGATAACAGAACAAAGTGGGTATTAATGTGGGCTTTTGAGTCAGACAGTCTAGAATTTGAACCCCAGCTCTGCAACTTATTAAATGTGAGATCTTGGGGAATTTTGTAATGTTTGGGCCTGTTTCCTGATCTGTACAGATTGTTACAATATCACCTACTTCTCAGAGTTTTTATTAGGATGAGATTGGATGATCTATGCAAAGTTCATAGTACAGTTCTAGCACATGGTAAGTGCTTGATAGTTTATAATAATAATGATTTATTACATGAACCAAGTATAACTTGTCACAGTTGCTGTCATCAAATAACTCTTTATGGACACTAAAGCATAAGCTTACCTCAATGACCCTGGTAGGACTCCTTCCCCTTCTCCTTGCCTCTCATCCCTCACCCCACCAGATGCTGGCCTCTTTGGGTTCATTGACTGTCAGTTTGAGTGTTCCTGTTTGCACCTGCTTTCCAGACCTGATACTGGACCAGCAAGAACTGTTCAGTGACCTGAATGACAGCATGAGGGTTAAAGTACGAGAAGCCCTGCTCAAAAAGCATCACCATCAGAATGAAAAAAAGAGGAATAACCTCATTCCCATTGTTCGCTCCTTTGCTGAGGTTGGCAAGAAGCAGTCTGATCCACACTCAATGGATAAAAATGGTAAGATTATTACCATTAATAATCTTATTAATCAGGCATTTAGGAACTAGTTGGAGATGCTAAGTTACTAGAGGGTACAGGCTATACTTGTCTAATATGCTTCCGTACTCACTTCCAGGAGCAAGTTGGAGGGCTGGGACTGATGAGCGTCTATCTGTTGTGGCACTAGAGATGCATGCCTCAGATCTCCGGCAGATCTTAGATTAGAAACACAAAATACACTAGTGTCGGTTCTTAAGTCAGACTCTTATGCTTCAGATTCAGGCTTCACTACTTGCAAAGTATGTGACCTTGGGCAACCTCCTAAATCTCTTTAAGTCTCACTCTCCCTTCTGTAAAATAAGGATAATAATAGCATCTACCCCATAAGTTTATTGTGAGGCTTCAATATGGTAATCCATGTAAATCCCTTCACCAGGTCCGTGATGGATTACAAACACTCTGTGAATTTCAGTTGCTGATTGGTTTCCTGTTCTGTGGCCAGGGAGGGCCCAATCTATTTGTCTCCCTGTCCCCACATTCACTGAATCACAATGTGCAGGGGATATGCCTGGGAATCTACATATTTGAAAAGCTTTCCAAAGGAGTCTCTGATGTGCACTCCTGGTTGAGAATTACTACCTTAATAGAGGAAGTAAAGAGAATCACAAATATGTTCAGGAAGAAGGTGCAGAAGGAGTGAGACTTCTCTCCTCCCTTTACCACTAACTGGTGGGTGAGGAGATACGTATGTGTGGGTCTTAGCTTCATAGTCATCTGAACGTCTTCTGTGTACCTCTTCTGTGGGCCTCTCAGGAGACACGGCCATAGCCAACCAGTGATGGATGGGGTGTGGCAAAAGGATGAAAAGGGCAGAGACTCAGGCAATTGTTTTCTCCGAATAGGTCAAACTGTATCTCCTCAGTCTGTTCCTACTACAAGTCTTGAAGTAAAAAATGGAGTGAATTATGAACACAGTCCCGTGGATTTAAGCAAGGTGAGCAGAGACATAGGAACTTAGCTTATAGGCCTGAGCGCATCTGTAGTGGGACTGGGAGCCCAATTGCTAGAAGCCGGGTAAGCTTTGGCATTTCAGCAGCCTTTGTCTAAGCTCAGAACCCCTTCTGCAGGAAAGGAGGCTCCCACTCAGGTCTCCTCCCTTTCACCCCAGCCTGGATGGGGCCAACTCCATTTGTTCCACCAGATGCGACGTGCTGGAACTGGGAGTAGCCCCTGGTGATCCTCACTGACACAGACCTCCTGATTTTTCCAGAATTTTTTGGGGTACTTGCTCTTCAGCAGCTCCTTCTTACCTCCAAGGGTTTTGCTGAAACAGTATTTTTGCTCTTATCTCCTAAAACTACTTGGTGGTCTGTGACTTGGGTATCCAAGGCCTTGTGCAGTGGCTGTGCCTCACTGTAGCTGCTGGTTTAAGCCTCAGTCTCCCCGCCTCCAGCCTTTCACTGCCCTGGCCCATCCTTGACACTATCTAAAACACAGATGGTGTCATGTCACTTCTCTGCTTGCAAGACTCCCTGTTTTATTTAGAAAAGCCAAAACCTCTGACAAACCATTCAAGTGTTTTAAAATGGAAAAAAATTTGACCTAGAGCTTCAAAAACCATCTTTGGGAGAGTTTGATGTAATGGGATTCAAATCAGAACACCTGGATTTAAGTTCTCTCTCCCAAAAGCTCTATTGGGCAAGTCAACTTCGCCTCTCTGGGTCTCAGCTGCTTCATTTTTTAAAATAAAAAATGAGTCTAGTAAGACCTGTTTTATCCACTCTATAGAGTCATTGTAAGGGTTAAATGAAATAGTATGAGAAAACATTTGTTAAATCATAAACATGACAGTTGAATGTAAGGTATGAGAGGGTGATTGATGTTTGAGGTTGCTCCCAAGTTGTCAGAGGGTTCTTTTGGACTTTCAGGTGGATCTTCATTTCATGAAAAAAATTCCCACTGGGGCAGAGGCCTCAAATGTCCTGGTTGGAGAGGTGGATAGTTTGGACCGCCCCATTGTTGCCTTTGTGAGGCTGTCTCCAGCTGTTCTTCTCTCTGGCCTCACAGAAGTGCCCATCCCAACAAGGTAAAGACAAGGACAGCAAAACGCAAGGCATTTTAGTCTAAATGTACAGATTTGTGGGAGCTCTGATGGAAGAAACCAGTGAATGCCAAAATTTAGGATTAATTGGGGAACGCTGTTTAAAATTCAGCTGTGATCTTACTGGGGTTATATTTGATTAATCTCCATGCAGAAGGATTCTAAGACTTTTAAGGCTATGACTATAGAGTACCTACAGCCCTGGGAATGGAGAACTGAAGAGCATCCAAGGGCATAGCACGGGCTAATCACTTGTTATGATGGGAAGCCTGAGTCTTACTCTCCCAGTTCTACAGAGCCGTGTCCCAGGGAAATGTCTCTGAGCAAAGGTATTGATGTCTCTTTCCCCGGTTCTGGCAGGATGTGTATGGTTTGCAAATATGTCCACATTTGTTCAAAAGGCTATTCAGGCACTCTGGAGATGGTGACTCAGGTGATTCAGAGCCCCATTAATTACAGAGTATTCAGATGTCCAGAATACAATTTAGACTCCTCTATAGGACTTGATCATTTCTACTTCCTTATCCCTCCCCTCTCCCCATCATTTTCTTATTAGAGCAATGAATGAGATGCAGAAAGCTTTGAATTTGCACTACAATGGCATGTTTTGAAAAACACATTTTTTTTTCTATAGCAAGGAATGTGTCTATGGAAACCCTAAGAATTTTATAACCATATTATTAAATGGAGTCATACAAAAAGCTTCCAGTGCTCATAGTGGAGTTCTTAGGTCAAGGCAACTTCTTTTGCTCCATCATTAGCCTGTCTCCTTTTATTGAAGTCTTTTTTTTTTTTAAGATTTTATTTATTTATTCATGAGAGACGCACAGAGAAAGAGGCAGAGACACAGACAGAGGGAGAAGCAGGCTCCATGCAGGGAGCCTGATGTAGGACTCGATCCCGGGATTCCAGGATCATGCCCTGAGCCAAAGGCAGGCGCTCCACTGCTGAGCCACCCAGGCGTCCCTCCTCTTATTGAAGTTACAACGGTGATTTCTCTTTGATGGGAAAGAGAAATGTTTTGTTATTTGGAGAGGAATAAGATGCTACTTCTTTATGTTTACTTACATAATTTATAATTTCATTCTCTATATGTGTTGCCAGATTTTTGTTTATCCTATTGGGTCCAGTAGGGAAAGGTCAGCAATATCATGAGATTGGCAGATCCATGGCTACCATCATGACAGATGAGGTATGTGTCACTTTGGCTTTTCATTCATGCTGCAGATATTTATTGAGTATTTACTCTGTTCCAGGCCCTGTGTTATTTGTTGGAGATAAAATAATTTCCATTCTGAGTAATTATCTTTTGGGAAGCAGTTCGGGTCACTTCTCCGAATGCCTTTTGTTGGGAGGACCAAACCTTCTGGGGGTATTTCTTCCTATGTCATCTCTCCCTTTTGGAGTAATCAAGGATGCAGAGGAATCCTTTTCTGGGAAAATTATTATTGCCAATTGGGATACCTAGAGAGAAAGATACTAAGGCTGATGACTTTCTAGAGAGGATGGTTAATTACATGCATAAAAGCTATTTACATAAATAAACTTCTCTCTTATTCCATGTAAACAGGACCAGTTTGTGTAAGAGTTAGGAGTAGGAGCTTGGACACTGTAATGTGAGTGTCCCAAGGCAACCGGACATTTTGGCTACGATGGTGCTAAATCCCCACTACATACCCTCGTGAGGCCTGCACTGCTCATGTAAACTGTAATGTAGAGGTTTTTTTTTTTTTAATTTATTTATGATAGTCACACAGAGAGAGAGAGAGAGAGAGAGGCAGAGACACAGGCAGAGGGAGAAGCAGGCTCCATGCACCAGGAGCCTGACGTGGGACTCGATCCCGGGTCTCCAGGATCGCACCCTGGGCCAAAGGCAGGTGCCAAACTGTTGCGCCACCCAGGGATCCCCTGTAATGTAGAGTTTTTAAGGCATGTGTTGTAGTAGGTACAGGGAGATGGGGGTTGTGTTTTATCATCTCTCTTTGACTGGGAAGCTTATTTTAGAGGATGACCTTTGTTGGTTTTTCCAACCATTGTGATCAGGAAATTTTCCCATGCATTTTGCTTTTTGTTCCATGACAATGACACAATGTTAGAATCTTAGCTCTTCTTTTTTAAAATTAAAAAATTTTTAACTTTATTAATTTATTTATTCGTGAGAGACACAGAGAGAGGCAGAGGGAGAAGCAGACTCCCCTTGGAGAGCCCGATGAAGGACTCAAAGGCAGATGCTCAACCACTGAGCCACCCAGATATCCCGAGTGTTAGCTCTTCTTATACTCACATACATATATCTAGTTCTTTTTTTTTTTTAAGATTTTATTTATTTATTCATGAGAGACAGAGAGAGAGGCAGAGACACAGGCAGAGGGAGAAGCAGGATCTGTGCAGGGAGCCCGATGTGGGATTCGATCCCGGGACTTCAGGATCACGCCCTGGGCTGAAGGCAGGAGCTAAACCTCTGAGCCACCCAGGGATCCCCATATATCTAGTTCTCTTTGTCCCATCTCATCTTCAGGTTCATTTTTAAATTCTTTTATCTTTGCATTTTTAAATTTTTAAAAAAATTTTCAGATCTCCATGACAGAGATAAAAATCATGAGGTTTATCTGTCCTTCACCGTATTCTTTGGTGATTGTCTTAAGTGAAGTTATTTTCTGAGGGTTTTTTCTTCTCTGTAGATTTTTCATGATGTGGCATATAAGGCGAAAGAGCGAGATGATCTTCTGGCGGGGATTGATGAGTTCCTAGATCAGGTCACAGTGCTCCCTCCGGGGGAGTGGGACCCCTCCATTAGAATTGAGCCACCCAAGAACGTCCCTTCCCAGGTAATGTATACACATTAGCCAATGGTAGCATAGTGCTGCTTCTTGAGTACCCATCATGGACAAAGCAAAGACCATGTGGGTATATACTAAGTAAATCAAGACACGGCCCTGTTTGGGGCACCTAGAAAAACAGAACAGTTATAAAAAATAACTATACCATTACATATCAGCTCAGGTGTGATGCAACCAATCAGGATTACTCTGGGATAAATTTAAAGTGGTTTTTGAAGATTTGATGTGGAATGGCAGAGAGGGGAGGGAAGGACATTTCTTGGGAGTATATTGCAAATGAAGCCGTGCAATGAAAACAGCAAGTTGCAGAGAGAGAGAGCAAGTAGAGTCCCCATACTTTTGGACAGGCTAAAGGTGGGAAAGGAGCTTTTGTATACCAGCCACCAGGCCTGGTGCTTTACAAGCACTAACTCAGCCTTGCCAGCAACATCCCCAGGCTGGTATTTTTACCCTTAATTTCACAAATAAATAAAACTATCTTCAAAGTTTTAAGGTCAAGTAAGATTACACAGAGGGAGATTTGAAGCAGGAACTTGGGTCATACCTGATGCCATATTTCTGCTTCTGGACAAAGAGTTAGGAGAAGGGGAGAAATTATATGTTGTTGTCATTTTTCAGCAAAGTCAATGAACTGTCCCAGCTCAGTAAATGCTTTTGAAAACTACAGACAAAAACTCCAAAAATTGGGTATTTGGGGGCTGTTTTTGGATTATCTTCTTACCACTCGCTGCTGTTAGCAGGCAGGACGGAATAGATGGCTGGCTTTCCTCATTTTTGTGGTCTTTTGTTAAAAGGAGAAAAGGAAAATGCCTGGAGTTCCAAACGGAAATGTTTGTCACATAGAACCGGCACCACATGGGGGCCACAGCGGGCCAGAGCTTCAGCGCACCGGGCGGTAAGTTTGGGGATGTTTCACGGCTCATACTGCTTACTGGGCTGAAGGTGTGCAAAGGAATGAGTCCTACTCTTTGCTTTCACTCTTCTCTGTAGTATACTGGCTGGGAATGACTTTCCAAATGGAACCACCGACTATAATAGTATCAGATACTGTATTCATTCATTCAAGTTTCTCAAACCACCTACCACTGTCTGTCTCCCCTCCAGTTCTTTCTACACATTGTTCCTTGCTTTGAACAGTTGCCCCCTTCCTCATCTCCCAGCTAACTACTACTCATCCTTTGTCTCAGCTTAGGTGTCACTTCCTTTGGAAAGCCTCCTAAGACTTTATAGATGAGGTTGGGTATTCCTGCTGTGGTGTCACAGCTCTGAGCTCTGCCTTCACTTGTCTGCTGCCCTCCTCCTACCCCCACCCCCATTAAAGCCCTTCTCATTCTTCATTATTATTGCTTGACTTGTCTTCCTGCTAGAACATTTGCTCCATAAGGCGCGGGGTGCCCATTATATTCCTAGCACCCAGCACGGTGCCCTGCACAGAGTAGGCACTTAATCTGATGAGTTTATGAATGAATACTTATAAAATGATCCCTGTTCTGTAGCATCAGTGGACTAAATACAGATAAATATGGAATGATTAAGTTAAGAAGCTCCTCTAGGAGCTCCTCTAGGGTAGGAATATAGGTAGTATTTTAGGTATGTGTGTGTCTCAGAATAGTCAATCTACTCCTCTTTTTTTTTTTTTTAAAGATTTTATTTATTTAAGAGAGAGAGAGAGCTTGTGAGCAGGGGGGAAGGGCAGAGGGAGAAGCAGGCTCCTCGCTGAGCAGGGAGCCCAATGTGGGACTCCATCCCAGGTCCCTGGGATCATGACCTGAGCTGAAGGCAGATGCTTAACTGACTGAGCCACCCAGGCGCCCTCAATCTACTCTTCTAGGCCAAGATTCTACGGACAGATACTTAAGGAGAAGGTTCTCTATAGAAGATTAGATGAGATCTCAGGTTTCTTTTGGTGTCAGATGGGAATAAACCAGTCTCAGGCCTTTTGAGGAGGTCATTTATAATCAATTCCATGTGAGTGTTTGGGAGACCATTAGATTGGATCTCAACAATTATAGATTCTCAGAAATGGTGCCTGACATCACCAAAGAGGATTTCATATAGCCCATTATCGCATGCTTACTCACAGTATCAAAGTACCCTTACTCACAAATTCACATAGGGTTTGAGGAAGTTCTTGTCACGAAGTTCTGGAGTCATAAGGCTGAAAGGAAGGGTTATCTAGGCTCAGAGCCTCAGTCTATTTGGTAGGGGAGATACTTCCTCTTCCTGAGCTCCTAAAATTTTCCTTAGAGCCCTTAGTAGAAGACCTTAAGACACATGGCCTTTCTCCCATTGTAGCCTTGTGGGTCAAGTGACTTAATACCTGGATCAGAGATTATAGTGCTGTGCCTACTCTTGCCCCTTCTCCAATCTCAGAGTATTGAGATCACTCTCAAAGAGTGAATGTAAACTCGCCCATATAGGTGGACATACTAGAACTTTCTGATCTGCCTGGACTGCACAGACTAAAATATGTTAGCTTGGGTTTTTATAGTTCTTCATACCATTAGTTGTGTTTCTTTGAGGTGGAGAAATCTGCTTTTTCTACTATGTTGTGTAGCCTGGGGCAAAACTTGGAGACTCAGAGGATGTTCTACTTGTTGGACGGTGAGATATATGAAGATGTGGGAATTTAGACTCTAAGAAGGGGGGCAAGAGATGAGTGGAAAACAGTACCTTGAGTTCTGTATTGCCTGACCCGCCATGCCAGGGCTCAGACAGCATCTGGGACCTCCCTGATGTTGATGCTGATGTGTTCCCATACATAACAAAGAGGAAAGTCTGACTAGAGTGTTCCTAGGCCACAAGCTTCATTCCAGGGAGGATACTCTAGAGAGGGGTTTTCCAAGGTGTATTTATGTACCTTATTGGGGGTGCCACTTTTGGGAAGGGTTAATGAAATAAAGAATCAAGAGCTGCTGTCTCGATGAACCCCGCCCCCACCCCTCCGCCCACCCCCACTTCAAACAGGTTTCTTCCAAAGCACAGCAGACAAATGGATGGCTGTCCTGTCCCTACAGCCCTCAGAGAAGGGCTCCCTAGCTCAGTGCTCCAGAGCCTAGTGACCCTCTCCATGGGTAAGTCCTGTCTCACATCAAGCTTAAATTCGTATCCCGTGTGCTTCCTATCCCCACAAAACTTGAACATCAAAGGTAGTGTTGGAAGGGAAGAGAAGTCTCAAATGTGGGGAGAAGCATCGGTGCCTGATCTTGTGGTAAATATGCGATTATGGCCGGATTTTTATGCATGAGCAAGGTATAAGCAAGGTGACTGTAAACAGTATTCAGAAATTATTTTATTAATTTATACTTACATGATCGATAAGGGCCTCAGATCTTTTCTACCCCCCCCCCCACCTTTTTTAAGATCTTATTTATTTATGAGAGACAGAGAGAGAGAGAGAGAGAGAGAGAGAGAGAGAGAGAGAGAGAGAGGCAGGGACACAGGCAGAGGGAGAAGCAGGCTCCATGCAGGGAGCCCGACAGGGAACTCGATCCTGGGACTCCAGGATCAGGCCCTGGGCTGAAGTCAGACGCTAAACTGCTGAACCACCCAGGGATCCCCCTTTTCTTTCCCCCTTTTAATCACTGCTAGGCAAACAGATGTCCTTCCTTTCTATTGACTTCTCATGAATCCATTTCACATAAATCTTTTGTCTGTTACTCACAGACACTCTTCCCTGAAGGTGCCTCCTGCATCCAGAGGCTGAGCAGTCATGGCAGCATCTCTGGTTGCCTCGTGGGGTGAGGTTCATTACTGCAGAAGATTATTCTCCCAGAATAACACCCTTCAAAGGAAGGTCATCAATGATTAAGTGATATTCACATGGTATCAAGATTCTTTATTGGGAAAGACCCAGAAACACTTGTATCTCGCCCCAGACTAGTCACAACTGCCTATGAGGTCCTATTTACCTAGAGGGGAAAGCAAAACATAGTGACACTTTATTACAGATTGGAGCCTTGGTTCCAGTTCCCGAGGTGGAATTCTCACACTCTAGGTTAGACCGTATAGATAGCTCCTTACCTAAGCCAGATAGACGAAAAACAAAGCTAGGTTTGCCTCTCTTCCCTAAGCCAAGGCCCAGATTGTGATGTTACTGCTATAAATTGAAGAATGGTGAATCTCAACTATACCCACCCAAACCAGAGGAAAAGAGCAAATGGGTGAGATAGAATAGCATCTGTCCTGTGTCCACCTGTAGCCTCATTGCATCTGGCTGGAGGAGAGGAGGCATTCAAATGGAGAGAGAGAGAGCTGGCTGGGTCTTCTCCCCTGGCATACCCTGTTCCAGGCCTCATGGGTCTCCTCCAGGCTCCCAAGCAGAGATAAAGAACTGGCCAAGACTCCTTTCATGAAGGAGTAGCTTGTTTTTTGTTTTTAGAATTCTATTATAGAAAGTTTCAAACACATAAGAAAGAGGAGAGAATGGTATAATGAACCCCCATGAGCCCATCAATAGTTATTAACACTTTGCCAATCGTGTTTCATCTATTTCTCCCCACTTAATTGTTTTATTTTTATGTTTTCTAGATTATTTTAAACCAAATCACCGGTATCATGTCATTTTACCTGTAACTACTTCAGTATGTATCTGTTTGATGAGGCCATTTTAAAAAACAACTATCACGCCATTAAGAAATCTAACACAATTAACAATAGTTCTTTAAATTGTCTAATGCTCAGCTCGTATTCAACTTTTTGTGATTGTTTTAGCAACAGCTTTTTAGAGTTCATTTGTTTGACATAGGATCCAATCAGGGATTGCCTTTGGTTATTATGATCCCGTTCTATGACAACTCTCCTTCCTCTTTTTCTACACCATTAATTTGTAGAAGAGACCAGGCCATTTGTCCTGTAGAATACTGAGTGGCTCTTTTTTGTGACTCACCTACCAACTTTCACTCTGGTACAGTGACTCCACTCTTAGAAAAAGTGACTCCGTTTGAGAACACTATCCCTCCTTGGTGTGGGATATCTCACTCTTGATCCGTTTCATCCTTGGGAAGTGGAGAGGGGTCCCTGAAGTCCCATCACCAAGTCCCGTTGATTCTACCTCCTGATTAAACCCTTGAGTCCATCCACTTCTCTTCCCAATCCACTGCCTACAGTCTTGTCCGACATTCCATTCCTTACACCCTTGCTGGATGATCCTTCCAGAATGCATGTTTATGTTATTCCTGTTTACAATCCTTCAGTGACTTGACATGCCATTAGGATAAAGATCTAACTCCATAAAACTGTTTACAAGGCCCTTTGTGACTTGCCTTCCCCAGCTTCTCCATCCTTGTCCATTGGCATTGGCTCCTCAGACTCTTCCAGCCGGACCTCCATCAGCCATGTGCTCTCACCTCTAGGTGGTACCCATACTAGCCCCTCTGCCTCATCTGCCTGACTCCTGGTCCTTTCTCCGCTGAAATATCCCTCCCTGTCCTATGCCGCCGTGGCACCTTCACAGCACTGTCTATCCCCTGCACTAGACTGCTAGTCCTGCAGAGAAGGGCTGTGTTGTCTTGCTCACTGCTGCCTCTCCAGTCCCTGGCACAATGCCTGGCACGAAGTATCTGCTACTACTTGTCAACTGCATGAATGAATTATCATGCTAATTTCTCAACAGGAAGGTGGGTAGTTGTTCAGAGTAGGACAGTGCATGTGATGGGGCTTTTTATCTAGACTTACACATACTAAAACTAACAATTTTAATACCTTGAATTGATTTCACACACTTCCTCCTAACAGCTCAGAATTTGAAGCTATTACTTAATTTCACGTTAGTTTTTTGAAACGTCTTATTGAATAGGTAGTATGCATACCCAAATTAATTCTTTTCATGCTTGGGATAATCATTCAAACTCATGCCCTTGATTGCAAATAGATTCTGTGCCTGACCCCGAGAGATCTCTTGTAAGAACTTGGGGTCAAATTGGAGCCAAAGTATGTCTTCAGTATGGAAAACATTTGAAGTGCTTTTCAAATGGGTGCTGTTCACATACTTTCATGGAAGAAGGACCGTGTTAGAGGCCTACCTGCCATGTTTCCACAGGCTGTTTGGAGGCTTGGTGTTGGACATCAAGCGGAAGGCCCCGTGGTACTGGAGCGACTACCGGGATGCACTCAGCTTACAGTGTTTGGCCTCCTTTCTGTTCCTGTACTGTGCCTGCATGTCACCTGTCATCACCTTTGGGGGACTGCTCGGGGAAGCCACTGAGGGACGCATAGTAAGGACTTTTAACCACTTCTGTTGGTCCCAGACAAGAGTTAAAATACTGTGTTGGCGGCCAAGTCCGCTGAGGAGAAAATCCCTTGGGCTAGGACTGAGGAGATTGGATTCTTTCTACTGAGTTACTGTGATCTTCTGACTTCATACCAGGCAGCAACACAGTTTTCCCTTTAGAACAGACTATTCTGCTTGAATATCAATTGCAGTAGCTGAGTTAACCTGGTGCTCAAAGGGTGGAAACTGATATACCGATGTCATTTGAAATGTAGGGTAATGGCTCGTAGTGTGAATGGTATCGTTGAGCTTTCTATGTATATTTCAGTACCAAATTGAGTCCCTGAAGAACAGGACTTAGTTAAGGACTCCTATGTGGTTGGATTTGGGCACCTGAATTATCAAAGCAGTATCCGTTTACAAGAGTATTAGGCAGTGTGTACACTTCACTCTTGCTAAGATGAAATACAAGCAAATGGCTTGTCAGGGCACACAAGAGAGCTAAGTCAGGAGTGAACAGAAGCCCACATTACTGGTTACAGATGGGCTATGGACTCTGATGATTTCTTTTCCCCCCTCAGAGTGCAATTGAATCCTTGTTTGGAGCCTCCATGACTGGGATTGCCTATTCCTTGTTTGCGGGACAGGCTCTCACCATCCTGGGAAGTACTGGGCCAGTGCTTGTATTTGAAAAGATTTTATTCAAATTCTGCAAGTAAGACATTTGGTTTTCTGAAAACTCTAACTGGATGTGTTATTGTGCTGTTAGGATTGAATGCCAGGATCCTAGGCAAGTATAAGCAGGCAAATATTGCTCTGAACCATAAAAACCTGAAGGAAGAACATCATTAGGTCTGTTGTCCTGCCCCCAGGTAGTACCTAAAATAGCAGATCTCTCGGTCTTAACAAGCTTTATCAATGTCCTTCAGTCACTATTGAAATCTTTACTTTTTATCTTTAAAAAAAGTTTCCCTAGCTAATTCAGATTCCTCTATTTTCATTTCAAGTCCATTTTTTTTTAAAGATTGTATTTATTTATATTCATGAGAGACAGAGAGAGAGGTAGAGACACAGGCAGAGGGAGAAGCAGGCTTCCGTGCAGGAGCCTGATGCGGGACTCGATCCCGGGATTCCAGAGGCAAAGGCAGACGCGCAACCGCTGAGCCACCCAGGCATCCCTCAACTCCATTTTTAATTTCACCTGACATGCCCCTTTCATATTGTTGCTAGTGATGGTAGGAACTTGGCAGTGCCCTGTTTCCCTACTTTTCCCATAAAACCTTTTCTTCATTTTGAGTTGGAAGTAGGAGCACGTGGATTAGGCGCCAGCTCCTTTTTTCTAACTGCAAGAATAAGATCTGAATCACGTTGGCCAGTATCGGCAGAAATGGGTGAAGGACAATTCCTTCCTTCTCGCTCCCCATGTCCTTGCCGTGGCAAATGCCACCTGCAGAGCAAATCTCTTGTCACAGCTGTCCCTGGGCAGCATTTAGGAGTGAAGTACAGTCAGAATTAGGGATAACCTGGGTTGAAGTACTGGAATGGGTACTATGAGATGAATTACCACATTTTTGACCGTTGTTCTCGTAATTCATCCATCCATACTCTCTGATGAGCCTTGGTCTTGTTTCAGAGACTACGCTCTTTCATACCTCTCCCTGCGAGCTTGTATCGGACTATGGACCGCCTTCCTGTGTATTGTCCTCGTGGCAACTGATGCCAGTTCCCTTGTCTGTTACATTACCCGCTTCACAGAAGAAGCGTTTGCCTCCCTGATTTGCATTATTTTCATCTATGAAGCAATAGAAAAGCTGATTCACCTGGCAGAGACCTACCCCATCCACATGCACAGCCAGCTGGACCACCTTAGCCTATATTAGTAAGTATGCTTTCTGCTTGTCTTTTTTTTTTTTTTTTTTTTAATTGAGCAGAGGACCTGAGTTTATTGGCTGGATGCAGTGTACCAGGCAGTACTTGTAGCTTGTGTCAAGGAATAAGGAAGTGTCTTGACCCTCTCACTGGGAAATAGGGCTCAGAGAGGGAGGTGGAGACCTGGGGGAGGTGCCAGAAGAGAACAGTCAGAAGTGATGACAGAGAGGGTGGATTAAGAGTGAAACTCAGGCGACATGAGAGATGCTTTCCAGAGCATGGCTTTCGGTTCAGGCATGAAACAGGAACAGGCCACAAAGGGAGCGAGGAGAGTTCAAGCTAGTTGTTGGAAGGAACTTCTTATGAGGATTTGTGAGTCCCTGGAGCATGTTACCAAGATCTCTGCAAGTATGTACAGGCTACTTACTCTTTGGAATAATGAGGTAGAGATATAATAATAATTCCTTAGAGATCCACAGATCTCTTACTGTTTCCTAAAGATCTATTTCCTTATCTGGATTTCAACCCAAGAGACTATTGTCTTCACATGTTTAATAGAGTTTGGATCAATTGGAAAAGAACCCCAGTATTTGGCTGTGTTTTCAACCATCTAGGAGCATCTGGTCCTATTAGACATTTCTTCTGTGGAATAGTATTTTCCAAATTATGGCTAAAGTCCCAAGCTTTAGCTCTGTACATCAGATTGCCTCCTTTCTGCCTATACATTTCTGATGTGCCATCTAGCCATGGATACGCTTCTATAGATTTCACTTATCCATTTATTAACCTTTTTAAGGTCTGAATTCATTAAAAATTTGTTAATTTTGAAATTATTTTATTACAAAATAACAGCCATTAGGGAGTATGATCTTTAAAGCCTCATGGATTGCCAGTTGGTATTGGGGTAAGGCTCATTCTTTGACCTTTTAAAAAATTATATATTCATATAACAAATATTTGTTGAGCACCTACTATGTGCCAGGCACTGTTTTAGGCCATGGAAACATAGGGCACGACAGACAAAGGATCTATCTTCATGAGGCTTATACCCTAGTGGGAGAAGACAGACAAAAGTGAGCAGCCCCAGACTGAGTAGACTTTGGATCTGGATACTGTAATTCTGTGTTAATGAAGCTCAAGACGGTATTTTTTCTTAGTTGCATTCTACTGTTGGAACTGTGAAGCTAGAACTCTCCAACTCTTTAAATGATTTTATGTTTGTGTGGAACTGATTTTTAAATTTTTAATTAATTTTACAAAAGATTTTATTTATTAGAGCAGGAGAGAGAGAGAGAACAAGAGCATGGGGAGGGGCAGAGAGAGAGGGAGAAGAAGACCCCCCCCAGCACCCACTAAACAAGGAGCCTGCTGTGAGGCTCAATTGGGGGACCCCGGGATCATGACCTGAGCTGAAGGCAGATGCTTACTGACTGAACCACCCAGGCATCCCTGGGTGGTTGATTTCCCATCCCTGGGAAATTGATTTTTGAAGAGTTTAGCTTCACAGCAAAATTGAGCAGAAGATACAGACAGTTCCCATCTGCCCTCTGCTCCCATGCATGCAGTCTCCCCTGCTACCCCCATCCCATATACTAGAGTGGTAAGCTTGTTGCAACCAATGCACTTACGTTGACACATCGTTATCACCCAAAGTCCATAGTTTACATTAGGGTTCATTCTTGGTATTATAGGTTCTGTGGGTTTTGATGAATTTATAATGATATATCCACTATTATAGTATCATAGAATAGTTTCACTGCCTTGAAGATCCTCTGTGCCCTGCCTCCTCATCCCTCACCAGCACTCCAACCCCTGGCTACCCCTGATCTTTTTAGCATCTTCATAGTTTTGCCTTTTCCACAATGTCATATAGTTGTAATCATGCTTTCAGACTGGCTTTGTTCACATAGTATTATCTCCTTAAAGGTCTATTATGTCTTTTAATGTCTTGATAGTTTCTTTTTAGTGCTGAGTAATAGTCCATTGTCTAGGTGTATTATAGCTCATTCATTCACCTTCTAAAGGATATTTTTGTTGCCTCCAAGTTTTAGAATTGATTTTTTAAAAGATTTTTTATTTATTTATTCATTCATAGACAGAGAGAGGCAGAGACACAGGCAGAGGGAGAAGCAGGCTCCATGCAGGGAGCCCGATGTGGGACTCGATCCCGGGTCTCCAGGATCACGCCCTAGGCTGCAGACGGTGCTAAGCCACTGCGTCACCGGGGCTGCCCTGGAATTGATTTTTTTAAAGATTTATTTATTTGAGAGAGAGCGAGTGAGTGCGTAAGCATGTGTGGGTGGGGGGCAAAGACAAAGTGAGAGAGTCCCAAGCAGATTCCATGCCAAGTGCGGACTCTAATATAGGGCTTGATCCCACAACCCTGAGATCACAACCTGAGCTGAAACCAATAGTCTGACACTCAACCAACTACACCATCCAGATACACCTGGAGTCAATTTTTTTTGTACCTAAATATAGGACTTTATAGCTTTCCCTATTACTTTTCATTTTGATGATTTCCCCCTATTACAATCTGTTGAGATCTTTTTGTATTTTAATTTTGTCATACTATATCCTTAGAAGGCATGCTCGTTGAATTTACAGATGATACAAAGTATGTGGGAATGGCTATGTTAGTTGTATATCCTCGGAGCCAGTTGAAGCATGAAGCATGTTGGGACTGGGAGGCAACAGGGTGGCCAGGAGGACAAATCTGATCTGATCTGGTCTGGTTAGATGGAAGAGGAGGCCACTGTGGTGGGATACTACCAGGAATAATGCAGTATCAGGAAGAGCTTGCATCACAATTTGGATTTTTAAAGCAAGAATGTGATGGAGCATAGGGAGCAGGAGCAGGAGATATCCAAGCTTGCAGTAGATGGTTGAGAGCTGATAGGTAGACCAGGTCCTCCTTGCTCTGTAGATTGAATTCCACAGGAAGGGCCTGAGAGAAAGAAACTAAGCAGGAGACCACCAGGGATCATTCTGGGCACATGAGGTGCCAAGCTTGGCTGTTGGCTCAATTTAATTCAAGATCTACATGCTGATCTCTGTCTCTCTTTAGTCTCTGTCTCTCTTTAGTAATGGCTGATGTGGTTGGGTGTGGTTGGGGCTTGTGCGTGGGCCTCGAGCAACAGGACCGACCTCAGGGGTCTGAAGTGGGCCAAGGAGCAGACTCTGATGGAGCCCCTGGCCCAGTCACGGCTGAAAGAGTTTCATTGAATATTTGCCTGCTTTTTCAGGAATCTTTTTTTCTCTTCCCTTAGCTGCAGGTGTACTGTCCCAGAAAATCCAAGCAATCATACCCTCCAGTACTGGAAGGACCACCATATCGTGACAACAGAAGTCCAGTGGGCCAATCTGACTGTTAGTGTAAGTCCGGGAGCTGCATTATAGTGCTGGGACCTCCAGGTTTGAGTGCCATGGCCCTTCAGCCAGGTCTGGCATTTTCAAAAATAAAGGTTTTTAAATTTATTTGCACTAGTCTTACTGACCCTTTTCCCCTTCAGAAATTCTCTTGTAGTATAAAGAGAAAAGAAGATTTCTCTTCTCTCCCATGTGCCCCTTACCCAGTGACCCTGCAGGGATATGTGAGCACGAAACCAGGCAGGGCAGGGGGCACCCCCAGGGCTTATGAGACCTGAAGAGCTTTCAGGTTTGGAAGTGCTCGGTCATATACACCATACGAATTGGCAGGGCCCTCCCAGCACTGCATGCTTGCTTGGGACCATCCTGGCTTCATTTCTAAAAGTGCCGAAGGACTAGGAGTCGTCACTGTGCTGGGAAGGGGCCTGTGCAAGCGACCGCGCCACACTGCACAGAGGGCAGGCAGATGCTGCCGGCAGCCTGAGCTCCCCAGCGCTGTGGGGTGACAGTGGGTGGTGGGCTCCAGCAGCCAGAGATGCTGGTTCCCTCGTGCCTGCCTGCTGTCACCCAGGATGCTTGTTCCTCCAGGAATGCCAGGAGCTGCATGGAGAGTTCACGGGATCTGCGTGTGGCCATCACGGACCCTATACTCCTGATGTGCTCTTTTGGTCCTGCATTCTCTTCTTCACCACCTTCATCCTCTCGAGCACTTTAAAGACATTTAAGACAAGCCGCTATTTCCCAACCAGAGTACGTAGCACACTCACACATCCTTTTGCATTAGAATTCTAATGTAACAGAGTCTATTCTCAGCCTCCATGCTGCCTGCGGAGTGGAGTCGCAGGTGGCAAGCTCCACATGTCCTGGTAAGCCACACCATGGCATTCTCTTCTTCTAGGGTCTGGCAACCTCTCATAAATGTATGGTGGGATGAGGGATTAATACTTAAAAAAGGCGACAGGTGATAAGCACCTTGCTGGCCCATTCAGTAGAGCATGCAACTCTTTTTTTTTTTTTTTTTTTTAAGTAGGTTCCATGCCCTGTGTGGAGCCCAACACATGGCTTGAACTCACAAGACCTGAGCTGAGTTGGTATAGCACCTGACTCTCAGGTCAACTGAGCCACCGAGGCCCTCTGAGCATAAGACTCTTGATCTTGGGGTCATGAGTTCAAGCCCCACACTGAGGGTAGAGATTACTTAAAAAAAGTCAGAGGGTTTAAGGTGATTCTCTAAAAGCTATTAATGCTTATTTCCAGAATGCTGTTAAGTTTTCATTTCTAGAATGCTGGGATATGTAGCATGCAATAGCTAGAGCTGGCTCCTAAATATAGTAAATTGGGATGATTAGTTTGGATACATGGGAGACCCCGAAGTCTCTTCCCAGGATGGCTCCTGTGGCACCTTTGAAATCACTGGTCACATTGATTGCAGCAGCCAAAGTACTCCTGACTCAGTTTCCATGACTGTTTAAAGCCTCAGCTGTCTTTCCTGATGTAGATGGCACTATTTGATCATGGCCAGTTTCAGGCCAGAATTAGAGACTGGGTGTAGAGTGGCCAAAAGGGGCCACTTTTACTTTGAAATAGAGTTCAAATCAGGAGAAATGGTGGCTTTTCTGTAAGTGAGGGTTTAATCAGGTATATTTGTTGAGCAGAAAGTCCAAATGGGTGGGGAGCTCAGTTGATAAGATATTTATGGTACACACATGTATAGCTAAAACATATTCTTAGATTTCAGTGAGACTACAGAGTAGTTAAGGGAAACACATATTAAGTAAGTTCAGGGTCATTATTTCTAGTCTGGACAAATAATTAATAAGCAGCAATTCTCTACTAGCTGCTTGCCCAGGCCTGGGTTAAGTGTTAGCGGGTACATTAAAAAAAGTTTTTTCAAAAAAAGATTTTATTTATTCATTTAAGAGAGAGAGTGTATAACCTTGAGAGAGCATGCATAGGAGGAGGGGCAGAGGGAGAAGCAGACTCCCCGCTGAGCAGGGAGCCCAAAACAGGGCCCTGGGATCATGATCTGAGTCAAAGGCAGACATTTAACCAACTGAGCCATCCAGGTGCCCCCAAAGAAGTTTAAAACATGGTTTCTGCCATCATATAGGAAGGGGAAACACATGAAGCATACAGGTTCATATAAGACATTAGTAGAGAGTTGGGTGTAAGGGCCATAGTAGTTCAGCAGAGAGAAGGGCCACTGCACCCCAGGCTGGTCAGATGAACCCAAGATGGATGGTTCATGAGGGTGGGAGCAGGTACATGTGCAGAGAATTAGTGTAACATTTAGAAGAGAACTAACAAAACCAGGGGCAGGGAGCTGAAAACCTCAGGTTTCAAAGGAAGGCAAAGTCAGGTTAAGATATATTTTGGCTAAGACATATTTTGCTCAATCTCTGTTGTAAATTCAGATTAAGACAGGCAGTGGGCATTCTAGAGGCATTGTATTTTATTAAAGCTACACTAACCTATTAAAGGCCTCTTGGGCACAACATGGTCAGAAGTGCTATAGAGAAAATTAAGCAGGAAAGGAGTTTAGGAGATGCCAGGGTGGAGGGTGGAGGGTGGTGACCAGCTTTAAGTAGCATCAGAGAAGACCTCAAGGAGAAGGTAATGTTTGCATGAGCATAAAGAAGGTGAGGGAGCTACCCAAGAGGTCACCCGGAGAAAAAGCATTCTAGGTAGAGGGATGAGCAAGTACAAAGACCCTAAGGTGGGAGTGGGTCTGGCATGTTTAAGAAACAACAAGGGAGTCCATGGGACTGGAGCAGAGTGAGTGAGTGGAAGAGTATTAGAGGCTCAGCTCAGAGGGGTGATGATTTCAGTGTGTGGGCTCATAGGCCAGGGGCTTTTGGGTGTTTACCTCAGTGAAATGAGGATCCATTTCAGGGTTTTTGTGGAGGAGTGACCTGATCCAACTTATGTTTTAAATGATCAGTCTGGCAGCTTTAAAGGAGAACAGAGCAAGGTCAAGGGTCGGCTGTACTTACCAAGGCAAGAGCTGATGGTGACCTTGATCTGGGCAGGAGCAGTGGAGGTGGTGAGAGGTGCTCAGAGCCGGGATGTGTTCTGAAGGTAGAGCCAGCAGGACTTGCATGCAGGTAGATGAGGTGTGGGACATGAGGGAGAAGAAGAGTCGATGCTGATGCCAAGGCTCTTCTGGGCTGGCACAAATGGCCCTTGACTGGTCCCAGAAAATCTTATTCCAAGTTCTCAGAACTATTGCTGAAACCCAGCCATGAATGCTTCAAACAGAACTCTTCACCGTCACGGTGGTTACATTAGAGTTTGATGGATAGTCTGTTCTTCCCCCATCATATCGACCCTTTTGGGGTATTAACTTGGGCATATTAACATATTTCTATTGTTTAAATATGCTTATATTAATTCAGTTATAAAATTAAAGCAGTCTTCTGAGGATTTAAAACCTTTTGTGATACTAAATTCTTTTCTATTGCATTTGACCTAATAAAACATTTTTCCAATCCTTTCTCATGCCAGGTACGTTCCATGGTCAGTGACTTTGCTGTTTTTCTCACTATCTTCACAATGGTGATTATTGACTTTTTGATTGGAGTCCCATCACCAAAACTTCAAGTTCCCAGTGTGTTCAAGGTAAACAGCTTTCAGGGCACTTCATGCCCTCCTGTGGTTTCCTAGAATTTGGTCCTGAGTTAATTTCAAAGGCCTGACAATATTCTAATCCTGTGTTCTGCAGTCCTCTAAATCTGGGCTTTGCTCCTCATTCCTTACCTTTCAGAAGAGTAAACTCTTCAGGCTTGGATGAGTTCAAGCCAGAACCCTAAGGTGATTTAATGAATGAAAAGGTAAGATTTAAAACAGTGGAAGGTACACATGTACTTAAGTAGATACCACATATGGTGGAATTGTGGGTCCCTGGTTAACAGCCCTTTCATGGAACATCAACTCTCTAAGGGCACTAAGAAGGATAAAGAAGCTAAGTTAGGACTTGTTCCCTGTCTGCAAGGATCTTGCCAGTGAAGAAGTGAGCGAGCCAGGGGGCCTCATCCACACTGTAGCGCCCCTGCTAGAGTAACCAGGGCAGCTCTTCAGCCCTATTTCATTGTTTCTATGCATAACTCTCTATAATCTATAATATTTTCCCAAAAATGTATACAAAAAAGTGAAAGAAATGGTCATATGTGGGGCTCTAGATCTGTTTCAGTGTAGGAGTAGCCAGTAACAGAGAGGCTGGGAAGGTGAGCTCGGTTCAAGAGGGCCCCGTAAGAGCAGAGGGGAGGGAAAGCCTCGGGGTACTCAGTGACCTGAGACGAATCATGAAATGAGAAGACAGGAGAGGCTGGGGAGGAGGAGGAGGAGGGGAATAAAGGGAGTCCTTGACTTATAAACATCCCTGTACCATGTGCCTTTGTCTTCCCTTTCTTTTCTTCTCCCTCCCTGAAATAGGTGGTTAAAAATATCTTTTTCCATATTGCCTGAAAATTTTTTATTTTATTTTGTTAAATGCACTGCAATGCCATCAGTTAGAAATTTGTGGATTAAAAAACACCCTCCTTAAAAATATAATTCCTCCAAGAATATGTCATTCTCACCTTTGTTTGGATGAATGCAATCAGCTTTCTCTCTAATACCTAGCTGAGGTCAGCCCTCCAGGAGGAACGGATTTGGTGTAAAAATAAGTAATTTGAGAACATTAAGCAGTCCTTGGAAAGGTTCCCTGATGGGTAAGCTTAAGATAGTCAGAAGGTACTGAATTTCTGGGACATCTGGGAAGAGGCCTCTGGGAGGTGGGAGAGAGACGAGAAGGGAAAATGGGAGAATGTCAAGGAAAATGTTGCTCATTGGCAGGCCTCGCTTTCAGGAAGCAGAGAAGAAATTTTCTTCCTTCTTTTCTTCCCTATTATGTCACTTGGCCCCTAGTGGTTAAGACCCAGTCTGACGGCTAGTACTATTACTAATGTGTTAATGTCAGTCATATTTTTAAAGATTCTTTTAAAATTTATTCATTTGAAAGAGAGGGAGAGTGAGCAAGTGAGAGCACAAGCAGGGAGTGGAGGCCAGAAGGAGAGGGAGAAGCAGACTCCCCACTGAGCAGAGAGCCTGATGCGGGGCTTGATCCCAGGACCCCAGAATCATGACCCAAGCTGAAGGCAGATGCTTAACCACACCCAGGTGCCCCATGTTAGTCAAACCTTAATAAATTTTTGTGTTGATCTGAGAATTTAACTATCACTTAGAACATTGTTACTAAGGTGACACAGATTCTATAAACTTTCAGAACTTAACCCATTCATAATTTGGGATTTGATGGCATTATTGATGAGTCTTTGAATCCTAGAATCGTGACCAATATGGACCCAACTACTCTGGATGTAACGGTCTTTGCTTTGTCCATTGAGTTGGGGTCAATTCTGCACTAATTTGTATCCCTGGCCTTTTATCTTCCATTACTACTTGCCAAACAGGGAGAACTTTTCTTCCCCAGAGTACCCTGGAGGGGGTTTGAGAATCTAGGAGAGTTTAGGTATGTCATGAACACCCAAACAAGATTTATGAACAGTAGTGGTCTTTTTTTTTTTTTAAGACTTTATTTATTTATGGATGAGAGACACACAGAGAAAGGCAGAGACAGAGGCAAAAGGAGAGGCAGCCTCCTCACGGGGAGCCCAATGTGAGACTTGATCCCGGGACTCTGGGATCATGTTCTGAGCCGAAGGCTGATGCTCAACCACTGAGCCACCCAGGCGTCCCAACAGTCGTGGTCTTATTGGAGTATAGGAGGAAGGGTCCTAGACCAAAAAGCCCCCAAGTTCAGTAGTCTTGGGCTCCTCTCTGAGGTCTCTGGTACCTGGGCTCCTGTTTCATTGCTGATGGGAGAAGGCCCTTGGACCAATACAGTCTAAGCCCATGAGATTCCATGCAACTGGCTCTACTTTGTCTTTATTTGTGCTATAGACATACATTACATGGCCTCTGGAGGGGAGCAGTCCAAAAATCTGGAGGAGCATAGTAAAAATTATATATATTTGCCTTCATTATAATCGTATTAAATCCTTTTTTATATGAAATTATTTTTTGACAACAGATTTTGTTATTTTATTTGGGCTAATGTTCAGATAAAGTTGCTTTCTCTGTATGTGGGTTTGGAGAGTTAGGGGAAGGAAGTGAAGGATTAATGAATATTTCACAGGAAGTTGATAATTGAGGATTGACTCAAAGGGAATTTGGAACAAGGTCACACATTTCCTAAAGAGTTGCTGTATTTTGGGCAGCCCAGGTGGCTCAGCGGTTTAGCACCACCTTTGGCCCAGGACATGATCCTGGAGACCTGAGATCGAGTCCCACGTCAGGCTCCCTGCATGGAGCCTGCTTCTCCCTCTGCCTGTGTTTCTGCCTCTCTTTCTCTCTGTGTCTCTCATGAATAAATGAATAAAATCTTAAAAAAAAAAAGTTTCTGTATTTCATGACTTTTTTCTTAAGGATTCTCATCTAAGAATAAAAATAATGTGGATATTGTGATTCAGTTGGCTTTGTTTTGCCCCAGTGACTATAGTTAAAATATAAAAATAAAACTTTGGTGTTTTTTTTTCCCCTCCTTTAGCCAACAAGGGATGATCGAGGGTGGATTATTAGTCCCATTGGCCCCAATCCCTGGTGGACTGTGATAGCTGCAATTATCCCAGCTCTTCTCTGTACCATCTTAATATTCATGGACCAGCAGATCACAGCTGTCATCATTAACAGGAAGGAACACAAGCTCAAGGTAAGAAAAATCCGACCTAGAAGGACAAATGACAACCTATTACTTTTTTTTTTTTTACTTTAGGGTAAGCCCATTTAGACCAGGAACTATAGAACCTGAATAAAAGCAGTCGTGGAAGGAGCTCATAAAGGTTTTAGGGGTTTCTAGTCCCTCCATTAGTGACAAAGATTGGTTTGGAAATGAAACCAGAGTAGAGCATGATGGAATGGTGTGAAGGGAGCTTAGACTCATTATGTCCTTGCAAACCTGTGGGGAAGGTGGGTGGGCACAGTTCCTTGGTGGTACCTACGTGGGCTTATCTTTCTAAGGTTCAGTTCAGGGCTTGGGCCACTGTTGCCTAAATCAGATATTCTCCCATTGGCGTGCATTACTGGGGTTTCCAGACTGAACCTCGGACCCAAGGATTCTGAGGAGGTAGGGTTGATTCTAATACACTTGTTAGTGAGAGGCTTCATGCCTTCATCTCTGTAGAGTAGGTAAATCCATATTTGTCAAGGATCTGGGAATGTTTGTAAGTAGCCATTTATCTGTATTGTCTACCATCTAGACACGAGAATGGTCAAGAGGTGGCTTGGCCTCTGGTACTCTGCCAAGAAAAGATGAATCTTTGAGTGTGTGAGACCCGGGGTGAGATCTGGGGACACTTGAATAAAAAACGGATATGGCATGTTTAGGACAGGCTAAGGTTTCTTATTTTCTTCTCTGTTCCCTCCAAACCAGGAGGGGCTTGAAGACTCATCTGGGATCCCTGGACCCCTTCTTTCTTACCCATACACCCCTTCCTGCTTTGGGCCTGAGACAATTAGCTCACTGTTCTATGCCCCACTAAAGCCAGCCCACTGGTGGTGACAGAGACTCTGTTTCCCCACAGAAAGGCTGTGGCTACCACCTGGATCTGCTGATGGTGGCCATCATGCTGGGTGTCTGCTCCATCATGGGCCTGCCCTGGTTTGTGGCTGCAACTGTCTTGTCCATCACGCATGTGAACAGCCTCAAACTAGAATCTGAGTGCTCTGCTCCTGGAGAACAACCTAAGTTCTTGGGCATCCGAGAACAGAGAGTGACGGGCCTTATGATCTTTGTGCTGATGGGCTGCTCAGTCTTCATGACAGCCATATTGAAGGTAACCATTCATTCACTTGTTAGAAAATATTTAATGCCTGATTCGTGTCAGGAATTCTGTTAGGTACTGAGAATACAGTGATACATGCCAAAGAGATACACATACAAACACCTGCCCTGAAAGAGCTTACTCTAGCAGAGTAAGACAGATAAGATGTAATTAAGGAAGTTAGTTAAGAAAACAAACATGAAGGGTGTCTGGCTGGCTCAGTCAGTGGAGCAGGTGACTGTTGATCTCAGGCTTGTGGTTTTGAGTCCCATGTTAGATATGGAGATTACTTAAAAATAAAATCTTAAAAAATATGAGGGGCACCCAGGTGACTCAGTTGGTTAAGTTTCTGACTCTTGATCTCAGTTTGGGGTCTTGAATTCAGGCCCTGCATTGGGCTCCACTCTGAGCATGGAGCCTACTTAAAGAAAGAAAGAGGAGGAGGGAGGGAGAGTTAAAAAAGAAAGAAAACAAACATGATAATTATAGACTATGATAAATGATAAAAGGAAATATATAGTGTTCTATGGTGTGATAGAGAATGAATTAAGGGAGTGTTGTTTTAGTTAGTGTGGTCAGAGAAGGCCTCTCTACAGAGATGGTATTTAAGATGGGATGGAGCCAGCCATGCCGTGGATGGTGGGAGATGGCATGGGGGAAAGGAGGAGAGAGCATTCTAGTCAGGCCTGAGGTGGGAAAGAATGATTTCTAAGAAATATGAAGGCCATGTGGTTTGAGGGCAATGAATCAAGGCAAGAGTGTAGTGAAATGAGAGTGAAGAGCAGGTAGGGGCAGATCATACAGGGCCTTGTTGACTCTGGTAAAGTTAACCTTTGAAGGGTTGACTTTCAGGCAAGGATGTGGTCCATTTAGTATTTTTAAAAGATCACTCTGGTTGATGTCTAGAGAATAAGTTTTTAGGGTTAGGAAAAGTAGAAGCAGAGATACTAGGGAGGCTATTATAGGTGGGAGATGATGGGGACTTGGATAAGGAAGGTGGTAGAAGGAATGGGTAAAAGGGGTGACTTCTCTAGATCTTGGAGGCAGATCCCAAGTCTTGCTGGTTGACTGGATGTGGAATGGAGTGGAAAATGGAAAAATGAAAATGGTAGGTTTCTGATTTGACCATCTGGGAGGAGAGTACTGGCATTTAAGATGGAGAAGGCTGCATGAAGGAGGAAGTGATTTTGTGATGGGTAGTGGGGCTATGGTCAAGTTTTGGGTGAGATATCCAGGAGGCAACTGAGTGAAGAAGCTAGAGGAAGGTTCTGGATTAAAAATATAAATGCAGGAGTCAACAGCACTGAGTGGTATTGAAAGCCATGGGAGTAGATAAGATCACTCAGGGAGAAGGGTAGATATAAAAGAGAAGTCGGACCAGAGGCAAGAGCAGAGTCTAAGGAGCTCCAGTATTTACAAGTTGGGTAGAGGAGTTGACAGCAACAGAGACTCAGAGGAGCTGCCAGAGAGGTGGGAGGGAACCCGGGAGGGTGTGGTATCAGGGAAGCCAAGCAGGGGGGATGTTTCCAGAAGTGAGATTGGTTAGAATCTGCCCAGAAAGATAAAGACTAAACCAAGCCATCGGATTTGGCAACATGGAGGCCTAACATGACGCGACGAGAGCAGATTCAGTGGAATGATAGGGTGGAAGTTGAATTACAGGGAAGCAAAGAGCAAATAGGAGGTGAGAAGTAAAGAGAGCGTGGGCAGACAGCTCTTCAAGAGATTTTTCTATGCAATGGAATGGAACATGCGTAGTGACTGGTGTGAGATACGGGGTTAAAAGAGGATTTTTGGAAAGATGGAAGATACCTCAAATGTGATAAAAATATTTAGTTTTGTGGTTGTAAGGTTTGCATCTGAGAAAAACGGGGTGAAAAGGAAAGCTCTCTGGCTGTACTGCCAAGCCCCAAACACTCTGGAGCACTTACTTGGCTCCCTTGCTTCCTTTCCCCATATTTTTGGTGAATTTTCAACCACCCCAGCCTGCACTGCGAGTGCTATTTAAGGGTGACAGCTGAGAGAAATGGGAAAGAGTTTAGAATCATCTTCCTGGCCCCTTACTCTCTGCCCAGTCTTGCCACCTCTCCTCACCCTCCCTACCCCCCTCTACTCTGTCCCCAGCCTGGTTCCCACTCCCACGTCTGGTCTAGCTGCCATCTGGAGGAGCCCAAAATTTGCTGCTCCTCCAGGAAGGTCACACGAGGGCATTGCAGTGGGCACCGCCTGGCCTTCCTAGAACTGGCCCAGAAGGCTTCTTTCAGGAAACCATCATAGTTGTACAAACTTAGCAGTGAACTGAGATGTCTACTCGCTACCATGAAACAGCATAAAATACAGTGGGCATTTTCTGGTTCTGAGAAGAATTATGTTTGGGAATGTTCTTTAGCCTCAGGATAAAAGCAAGTCAAGTTTAGTCTTCAGCTCTGAGACTTCTCTTGCCTTAATTCCTAGGCCTCCTTTCCCTACCCCGTAGATTGCCCTGAAGATTACCGGGATTGATGATGTGATGTGATAGGTGTGTATGTATAGTCAAGTGCAATATGATGTTGATATTTCTCCCCAAATCATTCCCTCTCTGATACCGCCCCATTCCCGCCCTCAAGTCTCTGGTTAGCAGAAAGGAAACTTTTTAGTTCATGTTAAAATACACCAAATCCCTGAGATGATAGATTATGTAATTAGTGTTAAGAGGTATTAGTTCTATAAAAGAGGGGTGTGTGTGTGTGTGTGTGTGTGTGTGTGTGTGTGTGTGTGTGTCTGCCTGCCTCTCCCCACAGAGGAGGAAGAGCCAGACGGGTAAAATGTGAGGCCTATGATTTAACCAGGACTGGACTACACTTATGTGTAATTATTTTATTTTAGAACAAAATGATTTTTTATCATTGTCAGCTTCTGGTTTTGCTTCTGCTTCTAAATCATGCAAAGGCAGCAGAAACTAAACGCAACATTTATGCAGTGGTTTTGGGACCTTGTTTCCTTTTTGGAGATTTAAAAGTTTATGTGGTCTTGAGTGTGCTGTGATATCAAATTTAACTTCTGGTCTTTCTGCTCTCTTGTCTTCAGTTTATTCCGATGCCAGTACTCTATGGAGTCTTCCTCTACATGGGAGTTTCTTCACTACAAGGAATTCAGGTATTGCGTGGTTCGGCCAGGGCAACAGCTTCGCAACCGGAGCTCATCTGTCCTGACCAGGGAGGGAAAGCTCTCCCAGGGACGCACAAACCCTTTCTTGAGAACTCATTTCCTAGTCTTGCTGGTTAAGCTATTTTAGATGTTTTTTGGGGCATTGGGCAAGTCATTTGGGCAGTCAAGCTGGCATGAGGGGACAGACACCTACGGGATGGCCTGGCTTGATGTCATGGTACCAGTCATTCATTAATTTTTTTTTTAAGATTTTATTTATTTATTCATGAGAGACACACAGAGAGGCAGAGACATGGGCAGAGGGAGGAGCAGGTTCCCTGTGGGGAGCCTGATGCGGGACTGGATCCCAGGACCCGGGGATCATGACCTGAGCCGAAGGCAGATGCTCAACCCCTGAGCCCCCCCGTGCCCCCATTAATTATTTAACAGACAGTGATTAGGCTTCTACACATGGATCACACTAGTTTTAGTGCCAGGCTACAGGGTGAGAGAGGGAGCTTAACTGGGACACACTGGTGACAAGATTGGCAGTAGTGGGGGCTGCTCCAGGTAAGCAGATATTACCTCCTGTCATGCTCTGCCTTTTCCCATCTGTCAACTCAATCCTCTGAATCCTTTGAACAGAGAAAATCAGGAGCTTGCCACAGATAACTTGGGTATCCCAGATGATACGATAACCTAGTTTCTTCTTCTATTGGTGGCTGCTTTCTCTTTGTTTTTATGGAATGTCCAGTGGTCACTCTCACCCATTGAGTTTTAATGTGATCTTGGGCAGGTTACTGAATCTCTCTGGGTCTCTATTTGCTTTTTTATTTATTTTTAATTAATTAATTTTTTTTTTTAATTTTTGAAGATTTTATTTATTTATTTGAGAGAGAGAGCAAGCAAGCACAAGCCAGGGAAAGAGGCAGAGAGAGAGGGAGAGGGAGAAGCAGACTCCCTGCTGAGTGGGAAGCCTGATGCCACGCTGGATCCCAGGACCCTGGGATCATGACTTGAGCTGAAGGCAGATGCTTAATTAACCAACTGAGCCACCCAGGCACCCCTATTCATTTTTTTAATATAAAGATGGTTGGTCATCTGTTCTATATCCAGGATGTTATGAAGTTTTATTTTATGTTTTTACTCTAAATAATCAATGAAAAGCTCTCAACTCCTGAAAGAACAAGTAAGAGATCTGGTTTTGATAATAAGCAGAAAGATGGAACTGGCTTATTTGGTTTTCAACCCTTTCTGAGAAAGATCTCTCAGGAGCCAGTGTGGGATAGAAGAAAGAAGTTTGAACCTAGGATTAGAAAAGGTGGATTTAGGGACACCTCGCTTGTTCAGTAGATAGGGCATGTGAGTCTTTTTTAAAAAGATTTTATTTATTTATTCATGAGAGACACACACAGAGAGAGGCAGAGACACAGGCGGAGGGAGAAGCAGGCTCCATGCAGGGAGCCCGATGTGGGACTCGATCCCAGGACCCCAGGATCAGGCCCTGGGCTGAAGGCGGCTCTAAACCGCTGAGCCACCTGGGCTGCCTGGCATGTGAGTTTTGATCTTGGGGTTGTGAGTTCAAGTGGCATGGGTTGGGTATAGTGATTATTTTTAAAAAATATTTTAAAAATGATGGATTTTAAATTTTGACTCTGTCATTTACCAACTTCAATCACATTCAGACTGTACTCTTTGAGACTCAGTTTCCATTTTTGTTCAGTGGAAACAGTGGGTAACCTTTCAGAGCAGGTAATGTAAGAGACATGAATGGGCCTAACAAGGCTTCTGACCCAGAGGAACCTTCTGAAAATAAATGCCAGTTCCCTTCTTTCAGTTCTTTGACCGTCTGAAGCTCTTTGGGATGCCTGCAAAGCATCAGCCAGATTTTATCTACCTTCGGCACGTGCCTCTGCGCAAAGTGCACCTCTTCACCCTCATCCAGCTCACCTGCCTTGTTCTGCTCTGGGTCATCAAAGCATCTCCAGCTGCCATTGTCTTCCCGATGATGGTGAGTTTCAAAAAAAAAAAAAATATTTTTAAAAATAGTGATGAAATCTACACAACACAAAATTGATCGTCTTAACCATTTGTGGGGGTACATTTCAGTGGCATTCGTACGTTTACGTTGTTGTACAACTATTGCCACCATACATTTCCAGAACTTTTTCATCTTGCAAAACTGAAACTCTGTACCCATTAAACAAGGACTCCCCATTCCTAGTCCCCTAGGAATATACATACCACAGTTTGTTTATCTGTACATTCATTGATAGACATTTGGATTGCTCCAACTCTCTGGCTATTGTGAATAATGCTACTGTGAACATGAATTGTACACATATCGGTTCCTGTTCCCGCTTTCAGTTCTTTGGAGTATATACCTAAAAGTGGATTGCTGGATCATATGGTAATTCCACTTTTAATTTTTTGAAGAATGGCTGCGCAATTTTATAAGTACATGGGGTTCCAGTTTGTCCACATCTTTGCCAACAGTTATTTTCTGCTTTGGGGGTTTTAGTTTTGTTGTTGTTTTTTGGTTAACAGCCATCCTAATGTAGGTGAAGTGCTAACTCCATTGTGGTTTCGATTTGCATTTCCCCAGTGACTAGTGAGGTCGAGCACCTTTTCATGTGCTTATTGACTATCTGCATATCTTCTTTGGAGAGTGTCTATTCAAATCCTTTGCCCATTTTTTAATCAGATTGTTGGTGTTTTTTATTGTTGAGTTTTAGGAGTTCTCGATCTATTCTAGATATTAATCCCTTCTTGATGGTGAGTTTCATGGTTGGCTTTTGCAGGAGCAGCATTGTTTTGGGACCTTGAAGTGTGGATCCGTGTGTAGCAGCTTGCCATGTTTACCTTCAAGTCTCAGCCTGTCTTCCTTCCTCCCTCCCTAACTTCCTTTCTCTTACCTCTCTCTCATGAACCTGACATGGAGAGGATTCTTCATGTTTGTAAAATTTGCCTACTTCAAAGCAACATAGTTGCAGTTTAGAATTTATTGCAATCAGAAGTGCCTGGAGTGGTGGAAACATACTGTTTTAAGCCACTGGAAGAGAGGAAGAAGTTGGCCCAGCACTGAGAAGTGCCTCCTCTCCACCGAGGCTTCGGAAAAGGGAGTAGGGAAGCTGACCTGAGTGTGGTGCAGCAGGTGACAAGCTGCTTCCTGCCACCAGGGTGAGAATGAAATTCTTGCCACCTGATGTCCTTGCTGTCTCCTCTTCTCCTCTTGTTACTTACCTTCCCCTCTCTGGCTCACCCTGTGTCACGAGGACGCTGAGCATTCCATGGGCTGTTTGAAAATGACCCAAAGGATGGGCCTCTAGAGAGAAAAGGCAGTGAGACTAACGTTTGGTACTTGTTCAGGGACTTTTGAACTCTGTCTTACTGGGAGAATACTCAAGGGTGAGGAAACGGGGGTCAGGGACCCTTCTCCCCTAATCTCCTACACCTATGCCTCCTGATGGGTCCCTGAATTTTGTTGGAGTGCATGTAGGTTTCTGCCTTGGGGTGTTATATTCAGGGGTTGACTGTTTGGTTCAAGAAACAGCAAATTCCTGATGACCCCTTGGAAGGGATACTATCAATTTTGGATTTATTGAGAACGTAGTTATGTAAATCAGGGAGAAATGTGGTTGAACATAAAAAGCCTGATTTGCCTCATTCCTTGTCCAGCCACCAGATGTAGCTGGTGAACACCAGTCAATCCAGGCCGGTCATTCCGGGTTATTATTAATTCCCCTTTGGCAGAAATGGCCTTTTATGGGAAAAAAAGTGGAGCAGCAGTTGAGGCGCCCTGTCCGATGTACAACTGAGGAAATTAGATGTCAGATTTTAGGCAAGTACTTTCTCTCCCTGGGCCTCAGTTTCCTCATTTACAAAAAAGAGTGTCAGGCCGGTCCAAAGGGCAGAGTCGCAAAACACTAACGATTCATGATGCAGGCATAAAGCAAGGATTCTGTATAGGCAGAAGGATTAGAGGGAATTCAGATGGTCCTTCGAAGTCCCTCCTGCCACGGTGAGGCATGCTTGGGCTGCGCGTGGCTGGCCTCATCGTAGCTGTGCTCTGGCAAAGGCTCTCTATCCCAGGGCTCACCACAGGGAAAAGCAACTCTTTGGGGCATCTGAGGATGAGGGGTTTCTCTTTTCAATGAGGGCATTTAAACTGCTTGCTCTCTAAGTTGTAGGGTTGTTAGGATGATAGTTAAATAAAACATCTTAGAGAAAACACTCACCTTAGTATCTGGTACAAAGAAGCTACTCCGTAATAGGTCCCTAATAGGCAACTGTTATGATTACTATGGATTTGCTCTTCCTTGAAATGCCCTTGGGTGCTGTGAAAGTAAGACTTTACTTTTTAATTCCAGGAAGGAAATGAGCTCCTTTAATTCCCTCTTTTTATTTTTCTTCAGGTTTTGGCGTTGGTTTTCGTCAGGAAAGTCATGGATCTCTGTTTCTCTAAACGAGAGCTAAGCTGGTTAGATGATCTCATGCCTGAAAGTAAAAAGAAGAAGTTGGATGATGCCAAAAAGAAGGCCAAGGAGGAAGAGGTCATAGTTCTTGCACCAACTGTATACTCCGGGGCAGCCTCAAGTTACAGAACATAGGAAGGGCCACATGAAAAGTCAGCATGTCTGGAATCCCAAGGGTTATATTTAGGAGCTGGGAAGAGAACTCCAAAGATGTTCTTAGCTGAGAATGGATTAAGGATTCTTGTCCCTGTCTGTCCTTTATTTTTGAACCCAATAATCAGTTGTTTTTTACTTTGTTTGTCTACAGTCTACTCACCAGGTTCATACTTAGAATATGAACATAGCGTCTGCTCTTATTATCAGATCTAATGGTTCGTGTTCCCCCAAAAGGCCTAATTTGACAACTATACAAAACCTATTATTTGTTATGTACCTAATTGCAGATGGTGTCGTGGTTGGCACCAGGCAAAGATAACTCGCATAGGACTTTCTGTGCTCCCTCTTTTCCCTCAGCACTTGGCATCTGCTATCCACACAATGGACCCTCAATCAATGGCTTGTACGTGCCAAGAATGGATGTGTAGCAAAATGAAAATACCAGACCAAGAAATGAATGAGCCAGAAAGTGTTTCCAAATACAGTTAGTGCCTGAAATAGTGTCCTTTGAAATACTTTTTAAGTGACATTTTTTCCTAATATCTTGAATTTTTAAAATCTTGTATTATTTTTTTCCCAGCTTTATTGAGATATAATTGACATATAACACCATGTACAACATAATAATTCGCTATATGTATAGACTGAAATGATCACCACAGTAGAGTTCGTTAACACGTTCATCACCTCACATAGTCATACATTTTTTTTGTGGCGAGAATTTTTAAAATTACTCTCTCTGCAACTTTCAAATACACGATACAGCATTGTTAACTATAATCACCATGCTGTACATTATATCCGCAGAACATATTCATCTTATAACTGAAAGTTTGTGCCCTTTGACCACCTTCACCCATTTCTCCCATCCCCAGCAACAACCAATCTGTTTTCTGTTTCTATGACTTCAATTTTTTTTGGATTCCACAAATAAGTGAGATCATATAATATCTGTCTTTCTCTGCCTTATTTCACTTAGTATAATGCCCTCAAGTTTCATTCATGTTGTTGCAAATGGCAAGATTTCCTTCTTTTTTATGGCTGAACGATATTCAGTTGTATTTATATATGTTACCTTTTCATCCACTGATGGACACTTAGGTTGCTTCCATGTCTTGGCTATTACAAACAAAGCTGCAATGAACACGGAGACCTCTTTTCGAGATAGTAATTTCATTTCCTTTGGATATATATATTCAGAAATGGAATTGCTGGATCATAGGGTAGCTCTAATTTTAACTTTTTGAGGACCCTCCATGCTGTTTTCCAGAGTGGTTGTACCAGTTTGCATTCCCACCAACAGTGTAAGAGGGTTCCTGTTTCTCTGCATCCTTGCCAGAACTTACCTCTTATCTTTTTGGTAATAGCCACTCTGACAGGTGTGGAGTATGATCTCATTGTGGTTTTGATTTAAATTTCACTAATTAATTATTAGTGATATTAAGTACATTTTCATGTACCTTCCAGCCATTTGTATGTCTTCTTTGGAAAAATGGCTATTTAGGTCCTTTGCCTATTTTTAAATCAGATTATTATTATTTTTGCAATTGAATTGTATGTAATCCTTACATATTTTGGATATTAACTCCTTACCAGAGATGCGATTTGCAGATGTTTCCTCCCATTTCATAGTTTGCCTTTTCATGGTCAGTTGGTCATTTATTTTGCTGCAGAGAAGGTTTTTAGTTTGATTTAGTCCCGCTTGTTTATTTTTGCTTTTGTTCCTTGCACTTTTGGTGTCATATCCACAAAATCATTGCCAAGAACAATGTCAAAGAATTTTCCCCTATATTTTCTTCTAGGAGCTTTAGTGTTTCAGGTTTTACATTTAAGTCTTTAATAACATTTCGAGGTGATTTTTGTGAATGGTGTAAGATGGAGATCCAGTTTCATTCTTCTGCTTGTGAATATCCAGTTTTCCCAGTAATACTTATTGAAGAGACAATCCTTTCTCCTCCAAATATTCTTGGCTTCCTTGTCAAATATTAGTTGACCATATACGCTTGGGTTTATTTCTGGGATCCTAAGTCTGTTACATATGTCCATTTTCTATTATTAAATGAGTTTAAAAAAAAAACCAAAACATTTTATTTATTTATTTGAGAGAGGGAGGAAGGGAGAGAGCCCAGAGGGAGAGAGAGAGGGGAAAAGCAGACTCCCTGCTGAGCAGAGAGCATGATGCAGTGCTCAATCCTAGGACCCTGAGTTCATGATCTGAGCTGAAGGAGCTGCTGAACTGAGCCACCCAGGCACTCCTATTAAATGAGTTTTAACAATTATAAGCACAAAAGCAGTGGAGGAAAACTTTAAAGAGAAGAGTGATAGAAATCACTACATAAAATATGAAGCTTTCAAGCATCCCAAAACTCTACAAATAAAATTTTTATTTATTTTATTTATTTTATTTTTAAAGATTTTATTTATTTATTCATGAGTGACACACGCAGAGAGAGATGCAGAGACACAGGCAGAGGGAGAAGCAGGCTCCATGCAGGGAGCCTGACGTGGGACTCGATCCCCAGTCTCCAGGATCATGCTCTGGGCTGAAGGCGGTGCTAAACCACTGAGCCACCCAGGCTGCCCTAAATAAAATTTTTAAATTATATATACACACAGAGGCACGTACGCACGGACACAGAGGGATACCTCATTTTATTGTGCTTCACTTTATTGCACTTCACAAATAATGTTTTTTTTTTTTAACAAATTGAAAGTTTGTGGCAACCCTGTGTTAAGTCGGTCTATCAGCAGCACCATTTTCCCAGCAGCATTGCTTACTTTGTGTCTCTGTGTCATCCTTTGGCAACTCTTGCAGTATTTCGATCTTTTTCATTATTATTAAACTTATGGTGATTTGTGATTAGCATTTATGATTCACTGAAAGCTCAGATAGGTGCCCCTGGGTGGCTCAGTGGTTGAGGGTCTGCCTTTGGCTCAGGTCATGATCCCGAAGTCCTGGGATCGAGTTCTGCATCGGGGTCCCTACAGGGGGGGCCTCGGCCCCCCTCGGCCTGTGTGTCTGCCTCTCTCTCTCGGCCTGTGTGTCTGCCTCTCTCTCTCTCTGTGTCTCTCATGAATAAATAAAATAGCATTTTCTAGCAATAAAGTATTTTTAATTAAAGCATGTAAATTGTTTTTAGACCTAATATTTCTTTTAGATACTTAATAGACTATAGTATAGTGTAAACATAACTCTTATATGCACTGGGAAATCAAAACATTTGACTCACTTTATTGTGGTAGTCTGGAGCCAAACCCATAATATCTCTGGGGTATGCCCATACATACATACACACATATGTACATTTATTTGCTGACTTACATAAAATTTTAGGTAGCGATATGTTTGAAGAAGAAAATAAGGAGGGAGGGAATTACTTTGTTTAGGGTGGTCAGGAATGACTGTAAGGAGATATCTGAAATCTGAATAAAGTGAGGGCAAGTCGTGAAAGTATCTGGGAGTAGGAACATTCCAGGCCAGGGGCACGCAAAGGCAAAGGTTTTGAGGCAGGAATGAGCTCGGTGTGGTTAAAGGACATGAGAAAGCCAGAGCCTGGAGGTAGCTGGACACCAGAAACCTGTGGCAGCAGCTCAGGCAAGAGGTGCAGGTGGCCGAGGCTAAGGGAGGAGGTGGAGAAGCGGCTGCCCGGGGGACTTCTTGTGAAGAGAGAGGTGACCGGTTCCGCTAATGTACAGTGAGCAGGGGTGAAAGAGTCGAATCAAGGCGTCTTAGACTTTGGGAGTGAACAATTGGATAAGTGGCTGTGCTACTTATTAAGCAGTTTGGGGAGGAAAATCCAAAGCATCTCTTTTGGATGTTAATTTTGGGGTGGGCAGGAAACACTATACTCCTTATTTTCCAAAATTTACTTTATAAAGTTATTTTGAAAACTAAATGAAAGAAAAATAATGAAGACCCCGCCCACAAATGTTATATCGGCATCCAGTATTGTTTATTACTTTATGTTCTCTCTAAGTCCTTAACATAGTTTTCATATAACTGTAATAATTGTTTATTTGAGGGGGACGAAGGTTTTTTTTTTTATTTTCCCCTTCAACTTGATCTCGTAAGACACTTTCATGTTTCTATACATCCATATAATAAACAGTCATATTTATTGTTTTAATGACTGTATAATATTCTGTAGTAGAGCATAATATCCTATAGTATTTTCTCATAATTAAGCTTTCTTCCTTTGTTAAAATTTATAGTTGTTTTAGGATTTATTACTAATCATACTACCTTAAACATATTTGTACATATTTTTTTCTCTGTAACTGTTTTCTTTAGTGGAAATATCTTTTTTTAACTTTTTGTTATGGAACATTCAAGCATATCCACCCAAAAGTAGAAAGAACAGTCATTATTCATATTTCCCCAATTGCCGTCTAATTTTTTTTTAACAATCTCTTTATTTGAATCAGGGTCCAAATAAGGTCTATATATTACAATGTTTGATATGTTTCTTAAATCTCCTTAGTATCTTTTGTATTTTTTTTTTCTTTCTGTTGAAGAAACTGGATCTGTGACCTTTAGGATTTTCCACCATTTAGATTTCACTGTGTCCCTTGGTGACATTTAACAATATGTTCTCTGTTCTCTATATTTCCAGTAAATTGGTAGTTGGCTCTAGAGGCTTATTCAGAATCATTTTCTTTTACCTTTTAAAAAATACAATTCCAGGGCAGCCCCGGTGGCTCAGTGGTTTAGCGCCGCCTTCAGCCCAGGGCATAATCCTGGAGACCATGGGTCGAGTTCCCTGTCGGGCTCCCTGCATGGAGCCTGCTCCTCCCTCTGCCTGTGTCTCTGCCTCTCTCTCTCTTTCTCTCTCTCTCTCTCATGAATAAATAAATAAAATCTTTAAAAAAATAAAAAGTACTATTCCATAGGTACAAATAATCTGGTTCTCTCTTTTTTGGTGACAAGCTAAATTATGAAAGAACATAAGTACACCTTTCTATAATAAATGTGAGAGAAATTAGGTAGAAATTGTGGTGAGAGAAATATGGGTGATGTGGACTCACGGTTTTACTTGGTCTAAGAATAATGTCTTCTTCTCTTGCAGGAGGCTGAGAAAATGTTAGAAATGGGGGGAGACAAGTTTCCCTTGGAGAGCAGGAAGTTACTAAGTAGTCCTGGAAAGAGCAACAGTTTCAGGTAAAACTCCGTAAACACCAGGAAATATATTGTTTTGGTTATTCTGTAAACATGTGGGTTTGTGGTGGAGGTGGTGGCAAACATACCTGATGGCATAAAGAGCTGACGTTCAGCCTCCCAGCCCCAACCTGGGAAAACACCTTTCCTTTCATGGTTTACTGAGCACCTGCTCTGTGCCAGATGCCACACCAGGTGTTGGGAATCACAAGAACAGAGGTAAGGGAGCCCATGTGCTAAGCACCTTCTCTGTGCTGGGAATGTGCTAGAAGCTTTATTAAATATTCTCATTTAATCTTTACAACAACTCTCTGATAAACGTCACGTTATCCATGTTTGTACAATCAGGAAACAGGCTTGGAGGGGTTTAGGGAATTTGCCCAAGGTCACAACACTGCTAAATAGAAAGTTTAAGATTCAGACCCTGGCCTTTTATTCTTCAGGTCAGTGCTCCCTTTCCTTTCCCTGCCATTTTCCAGAGATGGATAGGATGTGGCCTTTGTTTCCAGAGAGTCCTCAACCTGGGGGGTGTGAAATTCCCATGCTTGGGTGAGCCTTTGGTAAGGAGCAGAGGCAGCCCCTCCAGTGTGACTCAGGGCATCTGTGGTCCTAGAAGCCAAGGGGGCAACTGAACTGGGGTCTCCCAAATTCCTTACTTCTGCCAGTAATCAGAGCCCCCCCCTTCTTGAGCAGTTATTGCTCACCACAGGTCACAAGGCGCTGAATTGGTCCATTTGTGGCTTCGTTCCTGGCATTTTGTTTCCGCTGTGGAAGAGGTACACATAAACTGGAAGAAGCCCAGAGGCCGAGAGGGGGCAGAAAAGGAAGAAAGAGGGGATTTGGATCATGTAGATCCTAGATAATTTATTGCCGAATCATTGAACTGATTGTGGTTCATACTGACGGGGAATGAGGAAAATCTTGTCTTTGGTATTTAGAAATTTTTGATTTATTTGTCTTTGATAAATAAAAATAGATACTTAAGCAATGTGATGTTTTGCCTATATGTACACATTGTGAGATGATTACTACAATCAAACTAATAACATTTCATTACCTCCTATAGTTACTGTTCTGTGTGTGTGTGTGTGTGTGTGTGTGTGTGGTGAGAACACTTGAGATCTACTTTCTTAGCAGACTTCATGTGTACAGTACATTACTGATAACAGTGACCATGCTGCATATAGGTCCTCAGAACTTAGTCCTAACTGCAGGTTTGTACCCTTTGATCAACAGCTCCCCCTTTTCCCCTGCTCCCAGCTTCTGGGAACCACCGTTCTACTGTCTGTTCCTATGAGTTTGACTTTTTGGGTATGACTGACCCCCAGGAAATGGAATCTCTGGACCTTAATAAACTTTCTACAACTTGTGAAGGAAGTAGCCATAGACTTTGAATTCTCTGGTAGCAAAAGAGGAGCAGTGCTCCCGCTCTGCTGGGTTACTGCCTTCCCTCCTGGCCTTTTAAAATGAGACTGTCTGGCTTGTAGAAAATTTCCCAGTACCCTGGGTGCTAGGAGACCAAGGACTCTGGATGCAAGGCCTCGATTCTCCATCTACTGACATTTGACCTTGGACGATCACTTAGCTCTGGGAGCTTTGGTTTCTGTGCTTTCAAAAGAAGGATGTGAATAATCTCTGATTTGATAGTTAAGATAATATATTGTGAGAGTCCTTTGTAAACCAGGAATGGAAAACATTCGGCCTTGTAAGTGAGAAAACTTAGCACCATGAAGAATGCTTAGCACCACGCTTGGCACACGGTGAGCCTGGCACACAGCAAGCACTCAGTAGGTGGTAGCTCTTGAGGCTGTCATCAGCCCCCCAGAGGGGCCCTTTGAAAGAGGGCAGGATTGTGGGGGCAGAGCTGCCTGCCTCTCAGAGCCCCAGCTGAGCCCTTAGCACCACCTCGTGGGCCACCTTGCCTCCCTGTGTTCCAGTCATCCAGCTCCTGGTGCTGCCGAGAGCTGTTAGCTGAGCTCCCTCAGGCTTACTCTTTCCCATGTGGTGACATGCTGATCATTCTAGGCTGACATGTGTATTATATCTGTATGTCCTACATTTACTGTCCTAAGCATTGATTTCAGATGCGACCCCTCCGAGATTAATATATCTGATGAAATGCCTAAAACTACGGTATGGAAAGCTCTCAGTATGAATTCTGGAAATACAAAGGAGAAGAGGTAAAAAAAAAAAAACTATAATTGCTAATTTTTGTTTATTTCTGGCTTTTAAAGATAGCAGTCACATTGAAAGTAAAATATCTCTTAGTTGCAAGATTGAATTGTCTAAAAAATACCACTTCTAGGGCTGCCGCTAATCTCACGAGAATTGCTAGAAGCCTAAGAAAAGGACACATGTTTTCTGACTATTTGAACAGATGTGCTGTTTGGAGCTGCCCCTTTACACAGCCTCAAAGTCAGGCTGGGATTATTTGGGGATGTAAATTTGCTTTATCTATTTAATCATCTTAATCCGGTTTCTAAAAGTTCCCATTTCTGAGGCACCAGGGTGGCTCAGTCGGTTAAAGCATCCGACTCTTGGTTTCAGCTCAGGTCATGATCTCAGGGTCATGAGGTCAAGTTCCACACTGGACGGAGAGCCTGCTTGGGGTTCTCTCTCTCTCTCTCTTTCTCTTCCTCTCTGTCTGCCCCTCCCCCAGCTCATGCACTTGCTCGCTTTCTCTAAAAAATATATGTCAATAAATAAACAAACAAACAAAAAACCATTGAAGTTCTTATTTCAAAATTTCCCTGGTTACTGTAACTGCACAAACTAGAAAGTGGCTAAAATGTGCAGGGCCTGAGTGTCAATAGTGTTGATAGGGACTAGTTAACTCATTCCATAATGACAATTACTGCCAATTAAAGATTCTAAATATAGGAACAGTTTACATATTTGGGAAACGAAATTCTGTATATCATTTGCCAATAGCATAGATCCGTTTTCATCAGGTTACTGAAGAAAATGGAAGACTCAAGGCATCTTTGCCTTCACTGAGGTAGGCTTTGCACCCAAATTACTTGATTGATTTAGTCCAAGCTATTTTAATTTAAGAAGTCAGATAACTAAAGGCAAAGTCTTAGGTCTATATTAAAGGCAACTTTTCTTTTTTTTTTTTTTTAAGAATTGTGTACTTAAAAAAAAATATTTCATTTATTTATTTGACAGAGAGAGGGAGCGTGTGCATGAGCAGGAGGGAGGGACGGAGGGAGTGGGAGAGGCAGACTCCCCACTGAACAGGGAGCCCAGTGCAGGGCTCGATCCCAGGACCCCAGGATCACGACCTGAGCCAAAGGTAGATGCTCAACCACTGAGCCACCCAGACGGCCCTGAAGACAACTTTTCTAGTTAAGAAAAAAAGGCAGTAAGTAGGCTAGGAATTAGGGGACCTGGTCTAGCCATTCATCCTTGTATAAGTGGGCAGGCCATTGTTTCGGGGACTCAGTTTATTCAGCAGTAAAGTGGGGATAATAGTACCGTCTCCCTCCTGAGAGTGATCTGAGGAGGAGCTGAGGTACTTTGAAAAGTCACAGCCACCAGTGGGTGGTAGTGGTAGGCTGTTTCTTCATCGAATGGGTTAAAATAAATCTGTGCTGAATGTGAGTGAAATATAGAATCTTGTTTCCTTCAGAGGAAAATCCAGGCAGCTGTCGAAATGTATAACGCACATGGTTATTTTTAGTCAAGAACTAGTCTACTTGTAAATGAACTTAAAATACAGCCAAATCCAAATTGTGGTGACATCTTCAAAGTATTGTGTTAAAAGCAGGAATGAATCATGTGTTCCCTTTTCGTCTAATTGTAACACTTTTATTCAGTCTCTTCAACTAAAAGTCTTTGCTGGGAAGGAAGATTTGGGCCGTGAGGTGCCTCAGGGAAGTTCCGGTTACAGAGAAGATGGCGAGTCTCTCCGAGAAGAAGCAAGACCCAGCCTGGCCCTGTCCGCGGTCCCGTCCAAGCCATGCCGAGGCACTCCGTTCCCCGTGCTGTGCGTTGGAGGGCATGCGCCATCCCCATGCCAGCAGCCAGCCGCCAGGTGTGAGCGTGGAAGCGGAAGACCACCTCCTGCTGGTACTTCTCTTCTTCCTTTCTCTTTCTCTTCAGAACTGCCACCAGTGAAGACCCAGCTTCCCACCTTCCAGACATTCTCTCTGAACCTCTCTGCCGGCCCGCAGAGCCATATGGATCCATTCCATGAGTTCCCTCTCCTCAAGGATGGGGTCGGGGCGTGGGAGGAGAGCAGAGAGCAGAGGGAGGGCGCTCCAGTCCCGCAGAATCTGCTGGCCCCGAGGCAGACCTGGGCCTTGGTTTGATGCCTCCTCTGGGGGATGCTGGTCAGACCCAGAGGTCGTCAGGAGGGCCTGCCACTGGGAGGGTCGGCGGCCTGGGCGCGGCCAGAAGGTGCCTCCGCCCGCCCCGGGCGCGTCTGTGTCGCTCCCTAGCAGCAGCCATAACTCGGCAAGAACCTTGGATGATGAAAGGGCCACGAGGGACACTGGAGTTGTTTAGCTCAGACAGGAAAAGGCTCGGGGGAAAATCAGTAAAGCTAAGTGAGGACCAGCAGCTTCTCTCGGTTTCACTGAGGATGGACTAAGAGAATGAGCTTCAGCTGCTGCAGAAGGAGTTGGTTTAGACGCCAGGAAGGGCTTCCCAGCCTGAGCGTTTGTTCGAGTGCCTGCTTTCTAGACACCTGGGAAAGGTTTGATAAGAGCGGCTCGTGAGTAGGAAGGGAGATGAGCTGTTTTATTGGCCATGTTGTGGAAACACCCATGTTTTGCTGCTGTCTCTTGAGGATACGTTCTGATTCGACTCCTGGAGAGACCAAGTGCGTATGATTACGTGATTATGTCTCCTTAGCTGCCTTAGTAGCGAACCATTATCAACTCAATGGACCAAAACCACCTTCAGCCATGTGGTTTCTTCACCCTCACGCGTTTATTTTGGTTGACAGACATTTTGGCTCTCAGATGTAAAAAGCCACCCTGGGAAATGAACTGTAAGTGGTAAAATTAATTTTGGTATTTAGTTGAGAACCAGGTTTCTAGTTTTTTTCTCCTCTTCGCTGTTGTGATGAGTACGATGCGTTCGGGCCCCAGTGTGTCTAGGCCTTCTCTTCTGTGCACAGTAAGTGTGTCGGGACCCACGGAATTCAAGCACATCAGTTCTCCATCCAGTAAAATCTTGGTGCGGTGGGACGTTCCTACGGGTTGCTCTCCTTTCGTAGGTGAAGAGTTGGTGATGAAACTGTTGAATTTTGCATTCCTCTCACGCTTCAAATATGTCAGTGTATTCTAGTCTTAGCCTGAGGACCTTTGAAATGGAAGGAATCCTGCATTTCTTTGACATTTCCCCATCTCCTAGAACCACGCCTCGTCTAACGCACAGATGATTTTCAGAACACTTAACCCAACTGGTACAGGATGGACGCCAACCACTCAGAACGGATGCCGGCTGTAAGCAGGCAGTACGCGGGGCTGTACCGGTGCCTGTTGGCCGAACGCCATGCTGCTTTCAAACGCTGAAACGATAACCCTTTGAATCATGGGTATTGTTCCTGGATTGTCTGATTTCTGCTCACAAGGCTGTTCTAGGGACAGCCTCGGCTTCCCTTTATATGGTGCAGACAGGACCAGGCATGCATCTTTGAACTCTATGGGCATTAAAATCTTTGCGAGCCAAAGCTTCACATTTTATCATGTTAGCAGAAATGTGATGATTGTACCCGTTTACCTACCTAATGTAGAAAAATCGGAAGACAACCTGTCGGTGGGAAAAGCTTTCCTGCTGGCCTTCCCAGTCTGTCTCTGGCCGCTTCCGTGAGCTTGCCTCCTCCTCCGTCTTCCTTGTTCTCGAGGACTCGCCCACATTCCTCCCCCCTCCTGCCCCTCCCATCTCTTCCTGCTACCTCTGTGTGGGAAGGTTGGTGACCGCTTCTCCTGTCCCCTCAGCCTCAGCACAGCCGTAAGGAGTGTGGCAGGACAAAGCCTACCATACAACAAGTTAGGTGACACTATCACTCAGAAAAATCTCTCTCCTAAATACCCATGTCCCATGATGCCTTGTATACGCTAGGCCTCTTGAGAGCCGGAGACCTGTTAACTGCGTGCAGTGCGGTCACAGGACCTTGGGTCTACTTCCAGGTCCTTCCTGAGCCCGACGCTCCTAGGTTCCTATACCTTAGGAGTACTAGTTACTTTGGAAGCCTGTGCCAATCCTTGTAGGCCATTACATCTTTCTCAAACAATAGCCAGCCTCATCTCTGCTGCGTCTCAGTGGTAGAAACCATTCCCTACTCTAATTGTCTCTCTTTCCCCAACTCCCACCAAACGCTCGGCCCCAATCCTACCCGAGTGCTTCCTCGCTCACGTCTGTGGCTGGTGGCCTTGGTGGCAGAGTCAAACTGGGCAGTGTTTGGGGTAGTAAACTGGAAGTGGAGGTGAATATGTGTGTGTGTGTGTGTGTGTGTGTGTGTGTGTGTGTGTGCATGTCCGTTCATCAACAAATGCAAGTGCGTCCACAAGATGTCCTTGCTGCTATTAGGTAGCAGCTGCGTACCTAAGCTGGGGGGACATTAAAAAAATATGATCATTCTCCTATCTAGGGCTTCTCTGAGAGAATAGCCTGATGACAAATACAGGCAGATTAGTCTTTAGGAAAAGGTGTTTAAACTCAACATCAAGGAGGAACTGACGTAGAGGTAGAAAGCACGGCAGGTAGGTAGGTAATTTCTGTGCCAGGTTTGCTTGGCCCAGAGAAGCAGTCTGCCCTTCAGTGCAAGCCGAGTTCAGGAATAGTTGGAGAGTTGGCCAATGCCCTGATGTGTCGAGGTGGGAAGGGAGGGAGGCCGGGGGTTTAAGAAAGTGGTGGTAGGTGAAATCTTGGTTCTAGTGGTAAGAATGGGTGTTGCTGGGTGGTTGGGTTACTTCCTAGCTCGTGACATTGAGGGAAAGGGTTGGTCTAGAGAGAAGGGCAAGACGCAACCACGTGCGGTGAACTTGCCAGATCTCTTTGGTTGCAGAGAACACAGGCTCCCTCCTTGTGTCCACATATGATTTCCAGCTTCTGACGAGGGGATTATCGGGAGATAACAGCACCTGTCCCCACCTCCTTAGTCATAAGGGGAGAGAGGGGCCGTGAGCCGTGTATTCCAGAAGATGGTGTGAATAGTGGCTCTTTCTCTTTGTCTGGCTGTGACTGGCTTTTAAACTAACCGTAAATATTTGATAAAAATCTGACAAACGCTAAGCCTCAGGCTGGGTTGACATCTCAGGCTATGACAACTGTGACCTTGAAGAGGTCTCTGATTTTAGGAATCTGTGCTCTCTGCTCATCCAGAAAAGACAGTTCCCAGTTTTACTGGGACTCTCCAGACTTCCCTCTTAGTAGAGGAATCAGCAGTTCTCCCTGCATCTTCTCTATCGACTTCACTGCCCATGTTCTGAGTCTACGTTTTCCCGAAGCATAGGAGGTGCCACCCCAGGGCCCCCGGCTTTCCTTCTCATTGGCGTCGGAAGTCCCATCCGCTATATTCTCTCTGCTACTATCTCAACTTCTCTAAATTTTTCCTTGCAAGAGTGTTGGCACCTCCTCCTAGGACTTTGAAGCAGTCTTTCTAGTTCGTCGCTGCATTTTCCTTGGACTTCTCAGGTTTCTAAGCCGCATCCTGGCAGGACATTCAGGAACCCTGCACTGAATGTTCTCAGGCTTCCTGACTTTCTTTTGGTTGCAGCTGTCAGGCCTCTGTCACGTAGAAATCCTTCCCGTGGGGACTGACTGGCCACACGAGACGTCTTCCAGGTTCTGGCTCTTTTCCTGACTCAGCCTCCTCAGGCAGCACTTCTTCCGCTCTCTGCCCAGTCTCTCAAGTTCTTGGAGGCCTGAAGCTCCCACTCAGAGGTCCCCACAATCCCCCCAGGTGGGGGTGGTGAGAGAGGTGAGGAGGTTGGACAGGTCTGGGGCTTCTCTGAAAGGGGACTTACTGGTTATTTTCCTTACTTGGTGTAAGAGACCAAAGACTCAAGCCCTCGAGCTCATCCATATTTCACTGTAAACAGAAAGAGACGCCCCACAAGCAAATCAAAGTGGTTTTTCTTCCAAATCTATTCTTTTTGATTCGTGGCGCCCGTGTTCTCTTACGTGAATGACAGAGAACGGGCACTTGGCTCAGTTACCATTTCTTCACCAGAACCAAAAGAGCGTGAAGGCGCTGTCTCACTGCGTGAAGCACGAAAGGAGGAAAGAGCATTACGTGGATCCCTTCAGTAGGAAAATTCAGGAAGTGGAATGATTCATCCACAGGCATCATTCCTTCAGGAGGTTCTGTGCTCGAAGGGAATGGAACGGTTTCTGATCCTTCCGAAAAGAAAACGAGTCGCATTTTTCTCAAACCTACCCCACTTTCAGCATTGGAGAAAACAGAACTTCTTCTTCTAGCTGCTGGCATTAATATTTCCTGAGAGAGAGAGAAAACCCACCCACGGCGCTTTTGCAAGCCCCGCAGACAGCAGCAGAGCTTGGGCTTCTCTTAGCGGGTTAGCGATCGCCTCCGACAGGCAGGTTTTCACACAGGCAGGAGTGCTGGAAGCCGCAGCACCAAACTGAATGTGCAATTACTCCTTTTGCAAAAGAGGCCACAGTCCCGTCCCCCGCCCCTCTCCCCCGTCTCCACTCCTCCGAGATGATAAGCCTCCCTCGTGTGCACCTGTGTCCGTCCGTGCGGCGGGGTAGACGCGGCCGCCCTGAGCCAAGGGCGTCAGGTGGAGAGCAGAGCGCCCTTCCCGCGGGAGGGGGCAGCTTGAGGTGCTGGTACATTTCTCTTGTTTTCTATGTTCTTCTTCCTAGTAGGTCTCATGTAGAGATAGAGATATTTTTGTTTTAGAGATTCCAAAATATATATTTTTAGTGTAAGGAATGTACCCTCTCCACGCTCCATGGTGTAAATAGAACCGAGAACAAATGTGTTGTTGTGATAATCCCATAGCAATCTGTGGTAGGAATAGGACCCTCTCCCTTGCCACCAAGTCTCTCGGCGTGCGTCTGTGAACTAGGGGAGGCGATTGTGACACCTCGCCTGCCCAGACCTTCCTGTGCTCAATGGGTGACAAATAAAGTCTGTGTAAACTGTTCACACCTGTGGTGTTTTTTGAGCCTGAACCAGGGGGCCGAGCCAACGCGGGCCAGTTTCAGAGCGTGAAAGAAGAGTGAAGAAGAGTCGTGGAGACGGTTGAGAGAAAGGGTGGGGAGTCTGCTGGGCGCGCCGTCAGAGGGGCATGTGTACCCCCCTGCTGCAGACCCGGCATGGCCCTTGGCAAAGAAAGGGACTGCTAGACTTCTGTTTGGGTGGGGGGACAGGGAAGCGGGAAAAGACCGCCCATTTTGGAGATAAAACCAGGCCCATGAGAGCAACTGCTAACATTTAAGGACTCTCCACTAGCTAGAAATCCGGATTTTAGGAGCACCTCGCTGGCTCAGTTGGAAGAGCATGTGACTGTTTGGTTTTTTTTTTTTAAGATTTTATTTATTTATTGAAACACAGAAGAGAGAGAGAGAGAGAGAGGCAGAGGGAGAAGCAGGCTCCATGCAGGGAGCCCGATGTGGGACTCGATCCCGGGTCTCCAGGATCACACCCCGGGCTGCAGGCGGCGCTAAACCGCTGCCATCGGGGCTGCCCAGCATGTGACTGTTGATCCCAGGGTTGTGAGTTCGAGCCCCACGTTGGGTATGAAGATCACTTAAAAATACATGAACTTAAAAAAATTACTCCTCCCCTTAAAAGAAAAAATATCCAGATGTTAAAAATCGCTTTCACTCGAGCATTTGGGGCTTGAGGGGCAGGGGGTGTCCTATTTATCTTCATCTCAAATCCATCTGTTGGAAGGTTGGAGAAGAGGGGAAGAGGGAAGCAGTGGAGTACGAGCAGAGAGACCAGTGAGGGGGTGAAAGGCAAGCGCGTGGGGAGGCAGTGAGCAAGCCTCACGGGGTTCCTAGAAAGGGAGGCGCCACCTGAAAGCCCCCGAACACGCAGCGCAGCGTCAGTATCTTATTAAGGAGAACCAGGCCAAGCTGGGCTGTAGACCCAGAGCTCCCCAGCTCTGAAGCCTCTTGCTATCTTTTGGCTATTTTTTAACTGTCCTGACAATGTACACAACATGCCGCTCCGCGTCGGAGAAACCTGCTTGGATGGCACGGAGTCTCGGGTAGTGGACGGGAAGACCGCCTGTGCGGGGCACGGGCCAGTTCTGATGTGGGGGAGCACTGAGCACGCTCACGTCCAGAGGACGGGCCTCGGGGTTGTGCAGGAGCCCATAAAGTAGCACATGGAAAGTACTAGACTGGCACCCGGCTCGCACTGAGCACACAGTCAACAACAACCAGTCTGGAGGGAGGGGTGCTGGGGCGGTCAGTTTGGCAGCCGTCACATCAGGGCTTGACCAGAGTCTCCGCGGCCCCTGGGTTTGCCCCTCACAGTTGTCCCCAGATGGCTCCAGAAGCCCCAGGCGTCCGTCAAGTGCAGGAAGAGAGAGGGCATTTCTCCAGCTTCTCTCTCCCTACTTGTTTTTTTAAGATTTTATTTATTTATTTATGAGACACGGGGGGGGGGGCAGGCTCCATGCGGGGCCCGATGTGGGACTCGATCCTGGACCCCGGGGTCACGGCCCCAGGCGCCCCCGTCACTCTGTCTTCTCAAGGGGAAAATGATTCCTAGGGCTCCCCGGGCCCCACCGGGTGGGTGGTCAGGACGGAGCCGCCACCCCGGGCTGAACCGGGAGCCCGGTGCCTCGATGTCCCGCTGCACCCGGGCTCCTACAGGATCAAGGCAGGCGGGGCAGGAGGTGACGAGGTGGCCCGGGGTGCACCGCAGAGCGGACCGGGCAGCAGCACGACCAGGGGCCTCCGGGCACCAGGAGCGCGACAGCGGGGACCGCAGCGTCCCGCAGGCCACTGGGCCTCCTGCCTTGATGCGATTCATTCAGGGAGACTGAACCCCCCGGTGCCTGGTCCCCACTCTGTGCCCATTACGTCGAGGGCCTGGGGACAAGCGGGGACACTGATGTTTGTAAAATTCTCCGGGCGTCCTTCCGGGCAGGGCGCACACGGCTCCCCGGGGCTTCCGTGGCCGCGGCCTGTGCCACTCCCGCCGCCTCCTGCGCAGCCCCTCCCTGTGCCTGGCCTGTCGCCGCCTGAACCACCTCCACGTCCTTTCACCCTCACTGTCTCGCCACTTCCGGGGGGAGCCCTAAGATGGAGACGCCTGACTGGTCCCTTGGGCCCCGGCGTGGTCCCCGGCCGGGGCCTCTGGGTCTGGAGCCACCCCTGGGCCAACTGGGCGAGAGGGACACGCAAGCAGGGAAAAGCACGGCCATCAAGGGCTGTTCCTTCCCAGAGCTGCGGGTGTGAGGCCCTCCTGGAGGGGGCCGGGGCCAGGGAGACGCAGTAATTGACGTGTCCCCACGTCCTAGTGACGACCTGGCCACAAATGCCCCTTGTAGTACCTCCTCCTGCTTGGGTTTAATTACGGGGACACCCGGACACACATTTGCAAGAAAACTGCAAGTTAGTGCGCTGCTCCCTGTCCAGCCGTGGCCCACAGCCTCGCGGGGCCGGGGCGCCCTGACGGAGGGGAGCGCAGAGCTGCCGGCAGGAGGCCCAGGGCGTGGGGAGGATGGGGGGGTGTCCAGGCTCAGCCACCAGCAACGCGATAACAGGTAAACCAGGGACACGCCGGCCTCGGTCCAAGTCCTGGCTCTGCCTTGACGCCTGTGCGACCTTGGGCAACTGGCTTCGTCTGTGCCTCAGTTTCTCCACTGAATGGAGGCCCCAGTGCCACCTGCCTCACAGGGCCAGCGGGGAGCACTGGATCACCAGGCATGGCGGGACAGGCGCTCCCCGTGTGGCTCCTCGGGTCCTGGGCTCGGCGGCGAGGTGGCAGGCTGGGCCTGGGGCGAGGGGCGAAGGCGAGGAGCGAAGGTGTTAGCTCCCCTTGGGCTTCCCGGCCCCAGCCGTGTTGCCCGGCCCAGCTTGCACCTGGGCCTTTCATCCGGGTGCCGGGCGGCGGCCCCCCAGGGGTACTCCCCGGGCCCCCAGGACAGAGGCGCGGTGACCAGGGTGGCCCAAGCCCGTTGTGGGCGCGTCCTTGTTATGCCGGGGCCCCCACTGCCGCTCCCCACTCCCAGAAATTACGGACTGAACGACAGTGGCCTGAGTTCCTTACTACACAGCGGACGAAGAGGGCCCAGGCCTCGACCATCCAGGCCAACAGGAGTTTCCTAGTGACGTCGGCCTCCGTGAGCCCAGCGCCGCCTTTGGGCCCGAGGCCTCCGTGTCACCCTGGCCCGGGCTCGGGGACACACCGCTTCCGTGCACAGAAGTTACCTCGCTTGTAAATGGCAGAAGCTGAGCTCAGCGTTCGGGGGACGTGTGGCCTGAATGTGGCCGGGCAGGCGACAAGTGTGTTGTGTCTTGAATGAATGACCAAGGGCAGTTGTAACCAATCCTGGGCAGTCCCGGGAAAGTTCTCCCAACAAGAAGCTCGTCAGGGTGCATCGTGAGGAGCGAAGAGCCGAGGGGTCCCCTGCGCCGGGAAGCCGGGGGAGGGACTGTCACTCGGCAGGTGGCTCGGCTGCGATCCCCTGTGTCGCCGTCGCACGGGGAGGGCCGCGGCCTCTCCGACCCGAAGCAGGCCCTCGAGAGGAGCATCAGGAGAAAGGGGGGAGGCTGGGGGCCCTGACCGCTGGCTCATCCCGTCCCGGTCCCGGGAAGGGTGTGCGGGACCCAGAGGCCCCGGAGGCCCGCGAGGGGACCCCTGTGCAGCAGGCGCAGTGGTGCGGCCCGTGGGCTCCGTGGGGCAAGGGCACCCGGCACAGCCCCTGGTCGGGGAGGCCGCCGAGGCCGGGTCCGGGGCGGAGGGGGAGAGGAGAGGGCATGGGCCACGTGGCAGAGGCGCGGGTGGAATGTTCTGCGGGCGCTGGGTCGGGCTGGCTTGCTTGCGGCTCCAGGGCCGCGCGGGAAGCAGCTGCACGCCCAGGTGGAGACGCAGAAAAGGGGACTTGAGGTGACAGGTAAGCAGCCAGGGTTCCCCGGGCCCCGAGCCACCCTGGGGGGACAGGCGGCCGGGGCTCCGCAGGACCTCACCCCGGGGCAGCGGGAGGCTCTGCAGGAGGCTCATCGGCCTCGGCCTCGGGGGGCGCGAGCTGGCGGGGCTCCGGTGAGGCCCAGGGCCGCGGCCACCAAGGGGCAGATGCTGTGGGGCCGGGGCAGCGTGGGGCACCAGCCTCTCCAGCCTCACCCCAGACCAGAGCTGGCGCTGGGACAAGGAGGACTCGCCGGCCAGCCTCGGTCCTAAGGCCGCAGAGCAGTCCAGGCTGGAGGCGGCGCTGCCGGGGCCCCGGGGGTGCGGGGTGGACACCGGGCCGCGATGGGGCCAGACAGGGATGAGGCGGGGCGTCGGGGTGAAGGGGTGGGCGGGCAGCAGGGGTGTGGGCCGCAGGCCAGCGGCGAGGTCATCTGCTGCTGGGGCCGAGCAGGAGGTTGGGGCCTCGGCCCTTTGGGTCCCCACTGCTCCAGGGCAGGGTCTTTGGGTCACATGTGTCCTAGGGTGCACGGACCTAGGTTAAAAAGATAGGGTTCCAGAATGACATAGAGGGCGCTTTCCTGGCTGTCCCCTACCCCCCCCCCCGTTGTGATAGGACCTCCAGGCTTTGCTCGCTCTTTTTTTTTTTTTTTAAAAGCTTTTATTTATTTATTCATGAGAGGCACAGAGACACTGGCAGAGGGAGAAGCAGGCTCCCTGCGGAGAGCCCGATGCGGGACTCGATCCCAGGACCCCGGGGTCATGACCTGAGCCAAAGGCAGATGGTATCCACTGAGCCCCCCAACCCCCGCCAGGCGTCCCCTTCCAGGCTCTCTTAAAAGACCCCAGAGCTGACTCGTGTTGCTGCTGAACATGGTGACCTCAGTGACAACCTCTCCGTGCCAGGCCCCAGTTCCAGCTCTCTGAGCCATGCCCGCTGCTGAGCAAGACCCTGCCACCACCGCTGCCTCCATCACCCACCGCGGACATGCTGTGCCAATCCATGCTGCCCGGGGCCGACACCCCACGCACCAGGGCGCTCTGGGCAGCAACGCT